GCGTTTTCTGACCTCCTAAGTGGGTCAGCATAGTGTCCCTACAGCCTCTGTGCTTTCCTACCACGGTCTGTCTCCGTGGAGACAGTCCTGCTCCCTGGAGGTGTCGTAATAATTGGCAAGTGCTCTTCCATTTAGTGAGTGGGGCTGAGGAGTGCTAGATGTTCACCACTAAGAATTATCTGAAGCCCTGAATGACTTTTGAATGTCCCACCGGATGGTCACATAGGTGAAAGAAATCAGTTTATAGCTGTCAAAGCCTAGAGCCTGACTCAGTTTTACATATACACATGGAATTTTTTGTAGGACTTTAATTAAATGTTGAGTTTTCCAGGAATAAAACTGTATTATTGAAGGAAGATTGTACCTGGTTTTGTCTGGAACTCTACCAAGAGTTGTTCACCATTTGGGGAAGTCGTGTCACTGATGGCAGCATTTATCACATTATCACATTCGTAGTCATTCACCATATGGGTGGATACGTGTAAATATTTGTTTGAATTTAACTGAGATTAGAAGAAAAGAAAAGCTCTGAATCAGCTGAGGGGAACACTCTTCTCCCTTTCCTGGCAGAGTATGTTCGCTTTCTCCTCTGTTCCCATTGCACGTCATTCGTACTGCGTTCGTAGACAGCACGTCTGCCTCTCTCACCAGATGAGGACTTAGTAGGGGCAAGAGCGGAGTTTTACTTACCTTTGAATCTTCCCTGCTCACTGAGCACGTGGTAGTTGCTCAACTTAATATTCATTCAGTTAAGTTAATGGCAGCAACAGTAGTATTTATTCAACAAATATTTATTGAATCAGACTCTGCTAGGCAAAGAGGGCAGAAAGACCCTGCTCTCCAGGAACATGTGGTCTATCGTTAAGACAGGCCTGGAAATAGTTACAATACAGTATGACAGTTTCTAGAACGGAAATTGCTGTCAACTATAGATCTGGAATGAAAGAAACACCTAAGTCTTGTGGGGAGGTCCTGGAATAATGTCACAGAAGACAAATAGTATCCAACATCAATATCATTTGTAGTGCCAAGGAAGACTCTCAGTGAATATTTGGAACTGAGTAGATGAGCATAGCTCTGAAGAGTGAGAAGGAGTTTGCCACATGGTCAGGTCTGCAGAGGGCCTTCTAGACAGGAAATCCCTGCTCAGAGGCTCAGCGGTAGCGGAGGTGCACTTGGTACTGCTGGGCATGAAGTCGGGGGTTGAATCTTAGGAGAGAAAGCTGTCCCTGGAGGTGATGGACCAGAGCCTTGTCCGTGGAAGGAAGTGAGATTTTGTCTTGTAGGCTGTAGAAAACCACTGATGGAACAATTAAAACGACTGTATTTCAAATCATATGTATACCAGGCAGGAACCTATAATTCTGTTACAGAGTTCATATATTCTCATCTTACAGTTGGGAAGCCGAGGCTCAGAGAGATTGATTAACTTGCCCAAGTTTTCACAGCTGCTAAGTGGAAGAACTAGGATATAAACTTAGGTTACTTGAGTGCAGATCTCCTGTCTGCTTTTTAAGCTAAATTTACAGCCCTTCCTGCAGGGAAGAAACTAAATATTTTCACTCTTTTCCAACCAGTCTGGCTTCTTTGCCTCACATCATCCTCAACCGTAGTGAATTCATATTGGTGATGGAAATTTAAGTTCTTCATAGTTTGGCGCTCTTGGTAAGTTTAAGTCTTCTGAAAGCCCAAAATGGTATCTTACAGTAACTTACCTCTTGCATACTACCTTTTATTCTGGTGCCATCTCTAGCTCAATAGTTCAAACAACTGTCTTGGCGTATTGAAGTGGTGAATGCCATGGACCAATCAGCACGATTTGTGTATTCTAAAAGAGAAAAACTTTGAGTACTACTTCCCTTTTTTGAAACATTTAGATCTGAGTCTTCAGCATGCAAAAAGAATAGTAATTGTTTTAAGAAAACCCAATATTAATCTTGATCTTCTATTTAATATAGATGTAATTTACTGTTTAAGTAAACAATTTCTACCTCATAAAATTCTGGTGTGCTTGGTTCGCCTGAAGTACTTCACACATTATCTGAATAACCATGTAATCTCTCTGGCTACCCTGGGATAATATTTTTCCTAATTTTAACGGCTATTAAAATGTGGTGAGTTCTGGAGATAGAGGTGGTGATGGTTGCACAACAATGAGAATGTACTTAATGCCGCCGAACTGTACACTTAGAACGGTTAAAATGCTAAGTTTTATGTTGTGTGTATTTTACCACAATAACAAAATTGTGGTATGGAAGTTCAAAGTGGCCTAAGATCTCTTACCAGCTAGTTACCAATCAATATTTTTGAGAGCTTTTTGTTCCGGATAACTTGAGTAAGGTGTGAGGGAGCCATTTATCTCAGTTCTCCATATCCCATCAAATTAAATGTTCTTAAGACTAAGTGTTTGAAAGAAAAATAATTGTATTTATTTGAATGCAGCGATCAAGAAGGAAGCATGCTAATAGTATCATGGGGCAGCCATTTTTAGGATGGATATGACGAAGATGCCTTAGCTGCTGTTGGCCCCTGGCTTTAGTTTCTGGTTCAGAAGGGCAGCCAAAGAGTTATGTAGGCTGTCCAGATGTCACTCCCACAGATGGGATGTGCATGGTAGCCGCTCCAACTCATAACTAAGGTCCCCGGAAACACACACCTGCCCAGTATCAAGAGAAATTACGTTTTGTCCATTAGATTCACAAAAATTAGTGTGCTCTTGGAGATCTGGGAACATTCCTATTGTTGGTATGAGTTACATAACTGTTTTTGAAAAGTAATATAACTGTTAGTAATTTTTAAATACACATTCTTTTGGCCTAATAATCTCGCTGGGTTCCCACTACTGTGTAGAGACATTAGTACAAGAATTTTTTCTGCCGTGGTGTTTGCAGTGGCAAAGAAGTAGAAGCAATCTGGAAGCCAGTCAGGAAATGGCTGAGCAGATTATGTTCTTCCATTGTAAAGACCAGCGTGCATCTGTTAGGGAGGGAGTTAAATCTCTATGTGCTGGCCTGGAGTGATGACCATACTATGTGGTGTGTTAAAAAGTTGTAAAGTTAGAGTGTAGTATGTAGTGTGATCTAAAAAAACAAACAAATCAGAACTATGTGTCTGGTTCAGAATCGAGAAAGGTGTCGAAGGATTCATATCAAACTGTTGAAACTGATTCTCTTAGGGAGGTAAGCTTGGAGGTAGGATCGAATTAACTTTCCTTGTACAACCATGTTGTTTGATTTGTTATAATAGTATAGTTTGGGTAATTTTTAAAAAGAACATTGGAAGTAAAGTAATTGAAGTAAAAAGAAAAAGAGGAAGGCGGAGAGATCTATATTGATAGAAATTATAATGATAGGATTACTTTGGGGTGGGTTGATGACAGAATGGGACAGGAGAAACCTTGGTAGTCATAATGATCTATAATTGATATGGGTGTTGGTTATGCAGGTGTATGTTCATTTTGTAAAAATCCATCTAATTGTATGCTTATGATTTGTACAGGTTTATGTATATGTCAGTTACAAGTTTATTAAAATTATAGCACAGCAATACAATGGGAGACTTTTTTAATAGTTTTAATATTTAATGATATATGACGTTGGGCAAGAAACAGGACAATCTCATTATACAATATAATGTACATATAAACACACAGAATGAAGACTGGAATAAAAACACTACAATATTATTGATAGACATTATGTTCAGATGATTGTGGTTTTTGTTTTTTGGGTTTTTATTTGTTTTAATTAATGGTTCGTTGGGTTGTTTAGAAAGTCTGTGGAAGGTGGTGAGCAAATCCAGATTACAGGATATTAATCAGAAAATAAGGGTGAAGAAGGAGAGAGGAAAAGGTAAAAAAAAACAATGCTAACTAGAGAGGTGCAGTAACTTTTTTTAGCCTCTACTATTGAGGAACTAATTTCAGCTGTCAGACCATCCTGGCGTAGTACAACCATGTTCATAAAGAAGAATCCTCTTCTTTAGCAAGCTTAGTTTAGTTTTTACAGATAATTCAAGCTTGATACTTAGGTTTTGTTTTCCTTTAAGTATTTAGTTTTTAATGAAACTTGTCATTGATATACTAGTTTCAATTGATTGTAGCAGATGCAACTCGTAGTATCTTAAGAAACCTATATTCTTCCAATCTTCACTAATTAACTGAGGTGATTTGCTCAGATCTTTTTGCTATAATTGCCACAAGGGGGCAAATACTACCTCCCAGGCTGGAGTGAGAATCAAAGGAGAAAATGCATGTGAAAGCACTTCTATAAACACTATTTAATTGTAAAATTGCATTATTTTTCTTGCTTTTCCTTCAGTCTCAAACCTTTAGTTGTGAAATGTGGTTATTTCAGATAGAATTTATTTCACTTGAGTCCAAAAGTTGAAGTTTATGAAAGAATGTATTTTTTTCAATCAAGTTCTGCAAATGTAAATGCAACATTTAGTGTTTATCGAGGTATGGATTGTGATTGCAATGCATGCTTAATATTTTAGACTAAATATTAGTATTTAGTGCTTTATATATCAAATTGAAATGTAAACATTTTTATTCTAAGTATTGTTGAGCTGTCAGGAGAGTTATCAGGCTCTTTTCCCTATTTCAGTCATTCTTCGTAATTCCCCACGCTAACTGAAAACGACGAATAGCCGCAATGAGGTCTCCGCAGTGTTTCGCGGGGGGTGGTAAGGCCCGAGCTTTGACGAGCCCTCCTTAAGCGGGTCGGCTCCGCAGGCGCGGAGGTGGGGTGGGTGGAGCGATCTGCGCGGCACTAGGACCCAGGGGGCTCCCGGCGCGGCCCCGGGCCAGATTGCAAATTCGCGGTGACTCAGTCGCTCGGTCCGGGCTGGGCGCAGCAGCAGACGGCGGCCGCTCGGACCGTCCGGCCTCGACCCGCGCCTCGGGCTCGCAGGCAGGTCGGCGGCGGGGCAGGGCGGGGCGGCGGCGCGGCGGCCTGCGCCGAGTAACGCGGCGCGTCTTCCTGTTGCTTTCTCTGCAGCAAACCAAGATGGAGTACGAGTGGAAACCCGACGAGCAGGGGCTCCAGCAGATCCTGCAGCTGCTCAAGGAGTCCCAGTCCCCGGACACCACCATCCAGAGGAGCGTACAACAAGTATCCTTCCGCCGCCGCCGCCCGGGCTGCCCGCCCCGGCCCGGCCCGGCCGCCCCTCCCCCGCTCCCCTCCCCCGCCCGCGCACGCGGCCTGGGCCCGGGTTCCGGCCGCCGCCCGCGCGGCGATCGCGACATGTGCGCCGCGCCACGTCCCGCCGCGATCGCGACCCGCGCCCCGTCCCGCCGGCCGAGCCTGCGCCCGCCGGCCGAGCCGGGCTGGGGGCGGCGCGGGGCCGGCGGCCTGCGTACGCGGGAGCCTGGGCCGGGCCGGGCCGCGGGCGGAGCCGGCGCGGGGTTTGAACCGGCGCCCGGCGGCCTGGGGCTCTGCCAGGCGCGGCCCGAGAGGGCTGCGGGCCCGGAGCGGGGGTCCCGGCCTCCGCGGGCTTCCCGGGCCGGCACCTGTTGCGGGCTCCCTGGCCCCCACGTGAGACGGCCTGCTTAGAGCTTGGGCTCGGGACTGTCTGCTCTATTACCCGAGTGTCGCCCGAGGCAGCCTGTGCCGGGTACCCCGCTCCGGTTTTAGGGACAGGAGAGTTGAGAGAAGCTGCAGACCCTGTGCTCTGTCGTGCCCTAAACTGGGCACAAATGGAGAGTTCTTACTGGATCTAGTTCAGGAAACAAATCCACTTTTTATCTGTTTTAATACCGAAAAAGTTAATTCTTTAAAAAATTGGTGTGTTTTTGCAGAAAACCGTCTTGATTTTTATTGTTAAGAAGCAGCCAAATCACTTAACGTGAAATTGGTAAGCCCACTCGCTCTTGCTGTGTAATGTGGGCTTATTTAAATCTAAAACACTATAAAGTTGAGGTTATACAGTTTCATGAGAACGTCTGGTAAAACAGTTTGGAATGAGTATTTTGCTGCTGTAACTCCAAACATTCAGTGGGTGATTAAGTACTTAGCTTCTTGGTTAACAGAATACTGCTCATTTAAAAATGGAGGGGAGAATTATGTATGTCTGCTTGGATTTTTTTAAGCCCTTTGGTTTGAACACTGCTGTAACCGAGGAAAGGACTGTAGTTGGGGCTGTATTGGAGCTAGTATCTGAAACCCTGCCATGCCTCTGTATTAATTTGTGTTGTCATAGCTCTAGGAGTTGATATTTGAGGAATTGTGGGTACTATGTGACACAGTTATTTTTTAAGTTAGCCAAACCCAAAACCATATCGTAATTCCTTCTACAGTGCTATATATCATAATTTCTTGTTTTAGTACTATTGACTGAATACGTTTTACATGCCTGCCGCTGTGCTTGGGCTAGCAATCAAATTTACAGTTGATTCTCTGTGCCTGGGGCATAGCATGCCCTCTGCGTAAGGAACAAATTAAATTTCAGTAGGTAGAGGCCAACAGTATTTAAAAATACGCACTGCTTTATATTTTCAAAGTGCCTCCTTAGGAAAGAAGGTATTTAATTATTGTTTTTGTATATGCTTGAGCCCTTTATGAAATACCATTATAATAGTATGGGTAGATAGCTTAAGATGTAAGAAAAAGAAAGTAAACCTTGTCAGGAAATATTTATGAAAAATATATTGGCATATCAGCATGCCATTAATCTTGGCTATTCCCTAGAGGAAGAAAGAAATCACTGGGTTTTTCTTGGTCGAAGAAGGTAGTTACACTTTGAAATTTTTCTGGAGAATGTATTTTGCTAGTTAACTTACATTCTGACCACTGAACACTGAGGCTATTCTGGTATGTAATGAATAGCTAATACAGTGTACCTAGATTTTGTATCATGGCTTCAGTTTTTAAGACGTAGATCCATTGAGTAAAAACAGTTGAATATTTGTGTCTAATAAAAAACAATTAGAGGTGTTGTTAAACAGCATATTAGAGGTTAAGAGGGTGTGGAGAAATATAGGAGAGCATCCTGTCCCTGTTGCCAGCAGAATGAAGGACCTGCAGATTTGTGTCACTGGAGATGTTCAATCTCAGTGAGGGCAAACAATTGTAGAATTATTGCAGTGCAGTAATTTCATAATACTGACTTCGTCTAGTAAGATTTGATGCATAGACTTGTGCATAAATGGCATTTTAATTTCTTGAACTCTGAAGAGCAAACGAGTCTAATAAAAACACTTTTATTTTTTAAGTTAAAAAGCCATTTTATAAAGTTAATTTCCCTGAATCTTTAACTCTGAAAGACTTGTTTTCATGTCTTTGGAATGCTTTTAATTTTTGTCATTATTTTGTACTTAAATACCTTTTTAGTTAGAGTTTTTAAAGTTTGAATAAATCAAAGGAATTCTATTTTTAAAAGGTTTTTTGCTGTGTTGAGCATGCTGAAGGTGGAACTTGGCTAATGTTGTATTGACTATATTGATAAGACTAAGTTTAATATTTCAGCCATTAAGCTCCTAAGAGGTTTTAATATAACCACTGGTGTGTTCTTGAAATAGTGTATTGATGGTTTTAGTAAGATAACTTTATTCTTAGTAAAAAAAAAAAAAAAATGTAAGCCTAAAAATAGCACAAAAAGGATTCTTGACTTTATATTAAAAATGCTTAATCTCTTCCTTAGATTACACTGAGAAGTTTCCTTAACTACTGTTTGTTCTAGAAACTGGAACAACTCAATCAGTATCCAGATTTTAACAACTACCTGATTTTTGTTCTTACAAAATTAAAATCTGAAGGTAAGTAGGATTTGTGTTGATAACCACTTAAAAGTGTCTTTAAGACCTGTTAAAATGTGCTGGGCGTTATTCCTTTCAGAGGATTTCATTTTGCAGTAACTCCTTTACAGATGTGCAGTGAGCAGAGATGAGTTACTGCCACTTGAAGCATTTGGATATTTAATAAGCATTCAGTTGTTAATTTGGTGTTTTTATAATAATTTCCCTCATTCTTTTTGAATGAAAAGTGTTGCAAAGTCTGCTTTAGCGTTTTGCTTCAGTCCTTGTACATGAATGTCTTGAAGGTTGATTTCTTTTAATACACAGTTGGAATACAGGATTTACTAAGTGAATATGTGTGTGTTCATAGAAAACAATTGAAAGTTAGTATAACCAAAATGAAAAATCACTTATAATCCCATTGCCTAGAGAGAATTACTGTTAATCTTTTGATTAATTCTATGCATTTTGTATGGCTATAAACTATTTCACAATTTAATGAAAAGTAGGAACATTCTATTCATAGACTCTTGCAACTTTTTAAAAACTAACAGTATACATGAAACTTTTACATTAACTGTTTTTCTACATCAATTTTAAATTTAAATTTCTTCTAGGACAACTTAAAACCTGAAAACTAGTGTGATTTTTAAATGACGTGGTCGTTTGTTTCTAATACATGTAGTGTGTCCCACCAGATTTATTCATTTCACGAATATTTATTGAGCACTGCTTCTTTGCCAGGCAGTTCGCAGGTGAGGGGCAATAGAAGTGGGCAAAGTCCATGAGCATCTCTGCCCTCATGGAGCCTGCATTAGGGGTGTCCTTCGTGGAGTTGAGTATTCCCTTCCTGGAACAGTGCTGGACACATAAAGAGCACTCAGATACTTACTGAGCAGCTCCCTGGCCTCTAAATGAAAGCATTGCTTAGCAGAAAGCAGAAGCCTAGTGCAGTTCCTTCAACATTGCACTTGGAGTTGGGAAATAAGTCTGAGACTGAGACGCTCATTTCACCTCTCTTGCTCTTTTTCTTTTTTTTTTAAGATTGGCACCTGAGCTAACATCTATTTACAATCTTCTTGGGTTTGGGTTTTTTCTTTTTTTTCTTTTCCTCGTTCTTTTCCCGAAAGCCCCCCAGTACGTAATTATATATTCTGGTTGTAGGTCCTTCTGGTTGTGGCACGTGAGATGCTGCCTCAACATGGCCTGATGAGCAGTGCCATGTCCACGCCCAGGATCCAAACCATCGAGGCTCTGGACCGCCAAAGCGGAGCGCTAGAACTTAACCATGGGGCCAGCCCACCTCTTTTGCTCTTTCAGCTGTAAAACGCCTGTGTTAGGACGCCAGAGCATCTGTAAGGTTTCAGCTGCAGGCTCTAGCTGATTAACGGCCTTAGTGTCTAGTAAAATCTCACTAATCTTGTATTTATTCAGATTCTGATAATCCATACACAGTATAGTGATTTATTTTGAATTATTTTCAAATAATTTTCTAGTTAATTTTGGGGATTTTAATTTGTTCTTGAGGGGTGTAATTTAAAACTTTGTAGATCTAGGTTTTAAGAAACTAGAAATTCCTTCAGCATGTCTTTAAATTCATCAATTAATATTCCTAGTTTTGGGGCCGGCCTGGTGACATAGTGATTAAGTTCTGCTTCAGTAGCCTGGGGTTCGTAGGTTCGGATCCTGGATGTGGACCTTGCACAGCTAGTCAAGCCACACTGTGGCAGTGTCCTACATAAAATAGAGACAGACTGCCACGGATGTTAGTGCAGCAACCATCTTCCTCAAGCAAAAAGGAAGACTGGCAACAGATGTCAGCTCAGGCCCAATCTTCCTCACCAAAACAAACAAGCAAAATATTCCTAGTTTGATAAATATACTTATGATACATTACTTTTTAGTACCGAAATTTTTTTTCTCCCACATAGTAGTTTGTAATAAATCAGTGCTATGTTTTCAAAGAACTTAAATCTTTAGTAAATGAATGTTTCTAAACTAATTGTTTTACTTGAGCATTTTAAGCTTGTTTTTACCAAGCTGTCTACTCTGTCATGTCCTCAATCCTAAATTACAAATATTAAGATTGTGACAATATTAGGCTTTTTTTTTAAAGTTTTCTTGGGATATAAGGATTTGTCAGAAATATTTTAAAAAGCAAACAAGCATAATTCAAATAGCAGCAAGAGAGTTGGGTGTAAATGCCTCCAGAAGGACCCCTTAATTACAAAACCACAAAATATTGGAAAGCATTTTGTTCAGGTGTTCTTGACCCTGACTGAAATGTATTTCTTTTGTTCATTAATCATGATTTCTCACGGTCAAAGTAGGAGCTTTACATTTGTATAAGACTTGATGTTTCTTCTTGTGTTTACTTGTTTGGGTAGAAGTTTGCTGTACATCTAGTTTTCTATCAGAAAACTGTTAGCGTTGTGGCATCCATATTAGAGAATAAACATAAGGAACATCTTAAAATGAAAATGTTTGTTTAGTCATCTTTTTATCATTCCTCACGTGAATTTGTTCACAGTGAATCGTGGAGTGAAGTTTTAGCTCTGGAAGAAACCTCAGAGGTCAGCTTGGCTAATTCCCTCACTTTACAGATGAGCAAATTGAGACCCCCGTGAAGGAAAACCTTGCTTTTTTATAAAGAGGAAGTGGTTAATTGATGGCTTTTTAAAATGGATTTTGGACAAAGGGTATTTTTAATTTTAATTAAAATAAGAATTTTAATATAAAATATTTTATATTTTTAATTTTAAATCATTTTACCTCCTGTTGTGATTTATTGAAACTCTTCATTTTGTAACTTTTACTGTAAAAACAATACAATGCGTTTCTTTGAACAAATACACATGCTATGTAAAACAAATTACATGACTGAATTATTAAGGGTTAACTTAAGACAGAGAAGTTTATTGTTTGAGGAAGTTAACTATCTGGCTATTAATTTATTTTATGGCACTTTTAAATTTTCAGGAGAGTTTAGAATTGTTTTTGTTTCATTTTAAGTCACTCATTGGAATTGGTTGTAACTGAAAGGGGAAAGAAGTGGGATGGTGACAAAGGCTCTTAGGCTGTGTTGCTTTGATGGCTTGAAGGGGGTTACATGCAAAGAAACTTAGCTATCTTTTTGGCTTTCCGTGTGCTTCCCCCTTGAAGATTTCAATGCTGGTCAGACTTTGGGAGCACACTACCAACTAGAACAAGCTTGGGGTATTTTATTTTTTAATAAGGTATGTGAAACACGAGTGCCGTCGTAGCGTATTCGGGCACTCCAGTTCATCATGTCTTCCAGCCCTGAGCAGGGCAATGCTGTGTGTAGGCTCTGGAGTAAGACTCTGAGGGTGATATTTTGGCTTCCCCACTGAGTAGCCTCATGTGACTTGGGCAGAGGCCTCTTTCTTCACTTGTGCAGTGGGGGTGGTAATTCCTGCCTCATGAGGTTGTGAGGATTAAATGCAGACTACTTGGAAAGCACTCTGCAGCATTTAGTGCCTCACGAGCATCCAGAAGACGTTAACTACTGCTCAATTGTTGGTAAAGCGTCGTTTTCTGCTAGTATTAAATTGCTTCTTGAAAATTTGTTAACACTATCTATGGATTAATTTTTTTTTTTAAGTAAATTCTGTTTTTAAAATACTTCTGGAAGCTTTTACATTGTTTTACCCTTTTTTTTTTTTAGCGCAGAGGCAAGTGAAAAACATGATATAAATGAACAGCAGTTATTTGTATGTAAAGATGATCCCATATGTTCTTTGTCCACTTCATTTTTTTACTAGGATATTTTTAGTGACTAATACTTTCAGATCTATAATTTGATGTTTATATCAGGTTCCAATAAAGCTTGAGTACAGTGACCATATATAAACTAAATTAACTCTTAAACTAAATCAGTGGTTCTCAACCAGGTGCTATTTTTCTGCCACCGACCTCCCCCTACCCCGACATTCGACATCATCTGGAAACATTTTTGGTTGTCAAAACCTGGAGAGGTGATACTGGCATCTATGGCCACTGATCCTGCTGAACATCTTACAGTGCAGAAGACAGCCCCCAACAAAGAATTTTCTGGTCAAAATGTCAGTAGTGCCAAGGTTGAGAAACCCTGAGCTATAAATCATGGGGCTAATCTTTCAATAATTATTTATGATATTCTTTCCTGGTTATAGCAAAATTATTGGAATGTTGCAATCAATTTTTGAATATAAATATTTTTATGTTACTTTCCTGGTACATTTTGAAATGAAAATTACTTTAAAGCTCAGTACTATTGTTTTTTTATTACAGATGAACCCACAAGATCACTGAGTGGTCTCATTTTAAAGAATAATGTGAAGGCTCATTTTCAGAACTTCCCGAATGGCGTGACAGACTTTATTAAGAGTGAATGTTTAAACAATATTGGTGACTCCTCTCCTCTGATTAGAGCCACTGTAGGTAAGTTACTGTGTTAAGATTTTGCTGATTCTGTTTGTAACTGAGTTGTCCTTGGATATCACAGACCATTTCCATAGGAATTTTCGTCATCCATTTCATGTTGAATTGTGAGGGGGGAAATTTTCTTAGCCACTTATAAATGCTTTTGAAATAATGTTAATGATTACAGTAAAAGCTTTCCTATCCAGTGAAACCAGGGTCACTGGTAGTTGTTAATCAAGGGTGGTTAAAATGGGGCATTAACGAATGATATTAATTTAGGACCACTGCCTTTTCTTTCAGTTCCTTATTCTCTGTCTTCCTTATGTAATACATAGGGTATCATTTCTAGTTTCACTTTCTTTTAACATGGAAAGAAAAACTTCTTTGTAAAACAACTTAGGTAGGGGACCTTAGATTTTTGCTGTTTTCCCCCTTGTTTTTAATATTTGCCTTGTGTACACTTAATTACAGCAATTTTGAGTCTTTTGAGGGTGTTCAACTTAAAGTTTTCAGTGGAAGAATGATTTTGTATCAGTTTATGCAATGGATTAAGATGCTTCATTAATAACAAATACATGGATAAAGAGAACAGATTAGTGCTTACCAGAGGGGAAGGGGGTTGGAGGGTGGGCGAAAGGGACAAAGGGGCATCTGTGTATGGTGATGGATAAAAATTAGACTACTGGGGGCAACACGATGAAGTGTATTCAGGAATTGATAAACAATAATGTACACCGGAAATTACACAACATTATAAACCATTATAATCCCAGTAAAATTACTTTTAAAAAAAGATGTTTCATTATGGTCACAGGTATAAATAGGTTTGAGAGCAAGCACACCAACTGTCGGGATGCACACCTCCACTGGTGGAGCGGAGGAGCTGGGCAGGCGTGCTCTGGAGGGGCCTGCTGACAGGCAGCACTCCGTGTGCCATGGGGCTTCAGCAGCTGGGTTTTACAAGGACCTGGAAAGCTGCTGTTAATCTGGCAGATTGCTTAAATGGAAGTCAATTGAGAACTTCCATGAGTCAATTATTTTCATTAAAAGTTCTTTAGTTTTGTATGTTTTATCTCATGGTGGGTTTGACAAGTACCCAGTTCTTCTCTTGCTTCAATGGTAGAGGCTCTGACTTTACTCCAAATATTGACGTATCAAATGCTGCTGTTATTAACATGATTTTGGAGGGGAAGGTAGAGGGCATTTGTAATTTGAGAAGAGGGGCTCCCTACGTTATTCTGATGGATCCTTGTGTACCCTCCTAATGTTTTTCCAACTTGTGACACTGGTACAAAGAATGGTGAGTGTATGCCAGCCTTTTTTCTTTTTTTTAAGATTTTATTTTTCCTTTTTCTCCCCAGAACCCCCTGGTACATAGTTGTGTATTTATAGTTGTGGGTCCTTCTATTTGTGGCATGTAGGATGCTGCCTCAGCATGGCCGGACTAGTGGTGCCATGTCTGCATCCAGGTTCCGAACCGGCGAAACCTTGGGCCACTGCAGCAGAGCACACGAATTTAACTACTCACCATGGGGCTGGCCCCTATGCCAGCCTTGTTAAAATTTTTAAATCTTACAGTATATATTGGGGGGTCTTGCCAAAGAAGTATATTTGGAAGGACCACATTTCAATGACTATGTGGTAATCCATTAGATGAATATAAAATTGTTTCTCCTGTTAAAGAATAATATGGTTGGTTTGTAATTTTATTATTTCAGTGAGCGTTCTTTTATGTGTGTTTATATACCTGTGGGAAAGTAATTCATAGAAGTGGCATTACTGGGTCAAAATGTGTTGTTTGAACATTTAAAATTTTAGTAGGTATTGCCAAGCACACCAGTTTTCACTTCCATCTTTGTTGTGTACACTGAGAATTCCAATTTTTCATTTTTTGCAACTGTGCTAGGCATTAGAAGATTTTTCAGGAGTGGATGAGATTATCTTGGGCCAGGCAAATTTGAATTTGTCAGTCTGTCAACTTCTTTAATGTTCTTCCAACAGAAGTCATGGCTGTCAGGGGTCTGCTAGCGTGAGGCTCTAGCTTGTATTCAGTTTTTGTTACTGACTGTTTTAAGACGTGCTTGGTTTCCTGTAGGCAGATCCAGAGCTTCCTCTCTCCCTCAGTTCTTTTATGTTTTAACTTCAGGAAAGAGTACTTGGCAAAAAGGAACAGACCTACTATTAGTCTTGCTGCTTTTTGCTGTTACCCAGAAGGCTGTTTTATTCTAACAGGGTTGTATTGGTACATTGACCCTTACCATATAATTTAATTTTTTTAGTGGAAAGTATATGCGTACCAGCAGCTTTGTTCTTTACATTTTTTAGCTCTTTACCATTAGGAGCAACCTTCTCAAAACTAGCAGTGGAAAATTCAAAGAGAAGTTATATACACAAACAGTGGAATTTGCTGTTCAGTAATAATCATTGACTGTTTACCATATGCCAGGCATTTTGTGTGCATATCTCACTGACTTTTCAAAATAACCCTGAAGAGAGCACTGGTTTTATTTGTTTGTTTGTTTGTTTTCATTTTTACAAACTAATATTTTAAAGCTTAGAGTACATTTAATTTGCCTGCTGTCAGAGTTTATACACTTAATTGTGATACTGAAAGATCTGTAATCGCCAAGCATAGTACATTATGTAACTTATATTAAATTTACTAAGGCAGAGAAAAGTATTACCACAAAACTTGTGTGTTATTACTGTTTGTGTTAACACAAAAGTTTTGTGTTACATATTTATGTGTTTGCGTAATCCATTAACTGTCACAACTAAACTGCACAACACAATTGAAATAATCCTGTCGAAATGATATGATCAGTCAGCATGTGCCACTCAGCCTCCGAATCCAAGATCACCTTGCCAGTGATTCATCTTAATCCAGTAAGCGGGAAGTCTTAGACTGTATGGCCTGTCTACGCGAGGGGAGTGTTGCAGAGTGAACCTGTAGGATTGTTCTCGATGACTGGCCCGTCTGCTCGCTCTCTCCCTACTGTGGTCCATGGCTGTGGTCCTAGGTTAAGTCAGGGAGCTGTTCTCAGCTTCTTGATGTTTCCCTGTTTGAACCTAGCAGACTCATACTCATCACCAAGTAATAAGTGCTGCCAACATTGTGGTATAGTTTCTTTCTGCTCTTGCATGTAATTTCTATAAAAGGGGAGTAATTTTTTTTTTATTGAGTTATTGATAGGTTACAATCTTGTGAAATTTCAATTGTACATTAATGTTTGTCAGTCATGTTGTAGGTGCACCACTTCACCCTTTGTGCCCACCCCCCACCCCACCTTTCCCCTGGTATCCACTAAACTGTTCTTGGTCCATAGTTTTAAATTCCTCATATGAGTGGAGTCATACACAGATTGTCTTTCTCTCGCTGGCTTATTTCACTTAACATAATTCTCTCCAGGTCCATCCATGTTATTGCAAATGGAATGATTTTGTTCTGTTTTGCAGCTGAGTAGTATTCCATTGTATATATGTACCACATCTTCTTTATCCATTCGTCTGTTGCTGGGCACTTAGGTTGCTTCCACGTCTTGGCTATTGTAAACAGTGCTGCAATAAACATTGGGGTGCACAGGACTTTTGGGATTGCTGACTTCAGGCTCTTTGGATAAATACCCAGTAGTGGGATGGCTGGATCGTATGGTAGTTCTGTTTTTAGTTTTTTGAGGAATCTCCATACTGTTTTCCATAGTGGCTGCACCAGTTTGCATTCCCACCAGCAGTGTATGAGGGTTCAAAAGGGGAGTAATTTCAATTAGAAGAACTGTTCTTGGTCTTGTTGGAGAAGAGCAAGTTATAGTCTTTTGTACAGATACTTGTTGAAAATACAAAGGAAGGTGAAGTGTTGGACAGTAAGATTAGAAACAGGTCTGATATATGCCGTGGTGATCTGAGGGTCTTGGTGAATGTTCTTTTCTACATAGTTTGGAAGTCTTAGGCTAATCTGGGACATTTAAACGTGTGTGTGTGTGCATGTGTGCCCACTAGCCTGCACTCGCATTCCCTGTGTGGTGGTTGACACGACAGTATATAACGTGATATGGTCAGCTTTCCTAAAGGCATGTGTTTTCTTTCTAGGTATTTTGATTACAACCATAGCTTCCAAGGGAGAACTGCAGAATTGGCCTGACCTCTTACCGAAGCTCTGCAGCCTCTTGGACTCTGAGGACTACAACACCTGTGAGGTGAGGACTCCTGCTGCTTATATAAGCCTTCTCTCTGTCTCTTGTCAGGTTGTGTATTAGCAACCTTGGGGAAAAATATTTCCTCGGAAACGTACCGTGTCAAAACTTAGAAGCCTAAAATTACCTTTCTGTTTTACGTTAGCCATCATTTATCTTAGTGTTATCTATAAAGACTGATAAATTATAAAACCTCTTTACTATATTTTCCAGAAGGAAATATCTTCTGTTTTTGTATTTTAAAACAGTTCCTGGGGGTGTATGTATGTAATAAACACAGCTTAATCAATTGATGTGGTACTTTTCGAACATAGTCTTGAATTTCCCAGATTTGCAAACCATGAGTACTTTTTCAGCTTCTCTGAGTTGTCTTTGTGCCTCTTATTGTACGACACGTCTGGGGTATGTCTAGTCTGGTTTTAAGTGTAGATTAATTATCACCTCTTGATGTTTGCTGCTGATCCAGTCAGTAGCAACCTTTCCATTTGAGGAGGTGAGAGGGAGTCTATGGATTTCTTCTCCTCCAGTTTCTCACTGTTAATGAGTACTTTAAGTATCTCTTCCATTAGTCAGCTTCTAGTTTTGGTAGAAATCTGTTTTAAATGGAAGCCATTTCAGCTGTTCTGCCTCTCCAAGGCACTGACTCCTCTCCCTCTCAAAAAAGAGCAAGGCTTGGGGCAAGCTCCGCTGGCCTAGTGGTTAAGTTTGGCACACTCTGCTTTGGCGGCATGGGTTCAGTTCCCCGGTGTGGACCTATAGCATTCTTTTAGTGTCCATTCTGTGCTGGTGGCCCACATACTGAAAAACAGAGGAAGATTGGCACGGATGTTAGCTCAGGGGGAATCTTCTTCAGTAAAAAAAAAAAAAAAAAAAGGCTTGGCGCCAGGCCAGGCAGGCATAACCTAAGAAAAAGGTGGTGTTTTGACATGGCAGCTTGTTGCCAGATCTGACTTGGGGAAGAAAGGGAGCTAGGGAGAGGAGAGAAGTCTCTAAAGTCACTCTTCTTCCTCCCTAGGAGAAAAGAAATCTTGTGTTATCATATATACATTCTCCAAATACTGCCCTGGAAATACACTGAGTACAGAAAACCTGAAATACTATTTAGCCGTCAAGTAACAATTGATTAAAATTTAAATAGTGCTTTGGTATAATGGTAATAACATAAAAGGAGATCAAAATTTTAAGCAAGCACTTGGCCAAGAGTAAAAAAACTGCAGTAATCGCAAAATTGTGGCGCCACTACATAAGTCATGTTTCAGAAAGACAGTGTTCTTGGGGCCAGCCCCGTGGCTGCGTGGTTAAGTTCGCTCACTCTTCGATGGCACAGGGTTTCACTGGTTCAGATCCTCGATGCCGACATGGCACCGCTCATCAGCCCATGCTGAGCTAGCATCCCATGTGCCACAGCTGCAAGGCCCCACAACTAAAATTAGACAATTATGTACCAGGGGGCTTTGGGGAGAAAAAGGAAAAATAAAATCTTTAAAAAAAAAAAAAAGGGAAAGAAAGACAGTGTTCTTAAATTAACGGCTGTGGAGAATAAGCACTGAGGTGCTGCTGGTGGAATTATAGACTGTGAAGTAGGTGGTGGAGGTAACCTTGGCTTACACATTGTGTACAAGAGCTCCAGGTGAGCCCCCCTTTGGTGTAAAAATGGTTATAGGGAAATAGCTGCCAATTTGAATTGCCTGCCCTTTGAACAGATTTTGTCACAATTACCCAATGAATGATTTAGATATAAGTAATTTTTTAATGGTATTAAGACCTCTTTTTGTGGTTTGAAAAGAGGAGTGGTGCAGTGGTTAAACATGCTTAATACATAATTGTAGCGTTTTACATTCAGTTTTAACACACTGGTGTTCAATAAGAGAAGAATGTTGACTTAAAATTGGCAAGAATATTTCAGGAGAAGTTAAGTTTTTGAATTAGATAGTATTTATTACAATCCCTGCCAACCAAAATATTGTCGTTTAATGCTAAAATGAAAATGTACCATTATATTTTAAACTGAATTTTAGGTAACTTAAAGTATAATGATTTCTATCTTAAAATTGATGATTAAATATACAGATTTTATGAGGCATAACTTTACGTGGACAGAGAACATTAATCCATACAAATTAGTCGATTTTCCTCAATTTGCTTTTAAAATGACTTCATTTTTAATTAATTCTAATAATTTAAACGTCTTTTACAGGGAGCGTTTGGCGCCCTTCAGAAGATATGTGAAGATTCTGCCGAGATTTTAGATAGTGATGTTTTAGATCGTCCTCTCAACATCATGATTCCCAAATTTTTGCAGTTCTTTAAGCACAGTAGTCCGAAAATAAGGTATCTCTTTAGCCAATATTAAATTAATTTATAGAGTCTGATTTAAGCTTGACCACTCCCTTATTTTGCATTACCTAGTAGTACTGTGGTTAGCACAAGTTGTAGATGTTCCACAAAGGTGAACTTTGATAATTGAAATTTACTTCTTTAATCACAAAACCCATGAAATGTTGTCTGATGAAATTTTCGTTGAATATGCTAGTTCTCTACCTTCTTTATGGTTAATTACATTTGTCGTGGGTAACAGTCATGTTTTTAAGCTGCTTTATGGAAGGCTAAAATTCATTGTGTTTAGGGGTTGTTTTTTTCTTTTGTTTTAACTTATGAATCTTGCCAAATACCAATACCTTCGTTTGCAGCTGTGTAATAACAATTCCTCCAATATGACATCTAAATTAAGTAATTTTAGCTTGAGTTTTACATGATTTTAAGCATGAAGGTGGAAAGATTTTGAATACACTCTCGAGTTGCATGGTGGGCCTAGTTGGCTGCTCCTCAAGTTAACCTGGTAGGCTTTGTTTTCCTCTATATTCCCTAAACAGTGCCTGGCATGTAGTTGAAATACTATTCCATTTGGAGTATTAAATTGGCCTTTGATTAAGTTTATCGTCATCAGTTGTCCTATCAAGCTGTGATTGTCCTGTGGCCTTTATCAGTGTTGAAGAGGGCAAGACTCTAACTTCGCCAAAACTTCCCCAGGCTTCGGTACTCTTTGTTTTTCTTCTCCAATTATATATTTTTTTTCTAACTTGACCTTTGCCGGTTGTTTCTATGGAAGTTATTGCTCTTTCTTCTGATTCTCAGTTGCTTTGCTTTTTGTTGTTTCCAGTTTTCAGTGCCTCGTGCTTTTATGTGGAATGATCAAACGTCATATTACTGTTTAAAGTAGAAATTATGCAATTCCTAGAGGCAGTTACTCAGGGATACCCAACTGCATGGACTTGAGTGCATCAGCCATGACTCTCAGTTCAGAGCCCTTTGGGGCGTACTTCAGGATCCCAAGCTGTATTCCACAAGATTATGGTGTCCAACAATGAGACCAGAGGAAATCGGGAATCTTTTTCTTGCTTAAATTCTCTATTTGGTTCTTAGTCTTTTACCTACATTTAATTTTAATTACTTTTCATCTTAAGTGTTGTACTTTCATCTTACAGTGTTGTGCTCAGAATGGAAACTTAATAGATGTTTATTTGTGGTAGTGTCATACAAATAAATAACATTTTCAAAATAAACTGTCTCTCTCCCTGGCATAGTTGACTAGATAGAGGAGTTCGCGATCCCTAAGAAGTTTCCCCCTTTTAACGTTTCAACTAAAGTGATGCAAGAAAGTGTGATTGGCATAGTTCTCTTTACTTCTAAGAAATTCACTTTCTTGTAACTAATTCTCAGCCATTGAAAGAAGAACAACAGAAAAATCCAAAAAACAATGGTTACACCATTGCTGGATATAAAAATTTCTTTTGTAGTTTTAATACATTTTTGTAGATGGTCATTTGTTTAAAACTTAACTAGGTAGAGTTCAGCGATACAGAAATGTATGTGTTCAGTGAGTGTTCGTTACTACTCATTTGAGACGGTGTTGTACATCCTGTTAAAATTACTCTTCATTTTAATGGATATTTGGGTAAATGACTATCTGCTGTGCACTGAATGTCTTCCATCTTTATATGGTTTATTCTACATTATTATTGAATACCTTATTAATACAGTTTAACTGGTGTTTACTATGTACCCCTAAAAGTGTTTTTCTCTCTCAAAATAACTGTTGAACTTTGGAAATATAGTTTTATCCATCACATGACTAAGCAATTTAAAAATCAGAGACATTTTATTTTCTTAATCATACTAGAGGTACACAAAATTGGGTTAGGATTCTTAGCACGTGACACGTTCTCATCATAACCTATTTCCATTTGGTCTTTAGTTATTAGGGGTTTTTTTTTAGTAATAAGCACTGGAATCTACTACCAAGAACAAAAGCTAAGGACCTTGACAACAACCCGCCTCGAATCTGAACTTTAAAACTTCCTTGCCATTTTTTAAAACACAATTTCATTGCATATATATGTAAAATGTGTGCATATATATATCTTTGTTTTTAACTTTATAGAAAGTATTATGCTGAATTTATCTTGGGTGACTTTTTAAATTTAATATCATGTTGCTCAGATTCATCCATATTGTGTCACCATAGCTCATTTCTGTTGACTGCTGTATACTATTCCTTTGCATGACGGTTACATGCGTTAGTCGCATCCTCTCCCCCACCTTGGTCTTCAGTTTTTGCTGTTGTGGATAATGCTGCTGAAAACATTTGTAGGCTTGGCTTTTCTTGTCTATTTGTAAGAATCTCTCTTAGGAGGACATATAAAATCTTGGGAAGGAATTTCTGGGATGCAAGACACATGAATGAATAAATCAAAGAAATAACATCAAACTGTTTTCCAATTTGGTTACATCAATGTATACTCTTTATTAACAAAGCAAAAGGTTCTCTGGGTACACATACTTGGCATTCGGTATTGTCACACATTTTAATTTTTGCCAGTCACATTGATCTAAGATGGTATCCCTTTGTGGTCTTGATGGTTTACTCTTCAGTCATTAATCATGTGGAACATCTCCTTTGTTGATTGGCTGTACATTGCGGTGCCTTTTTCTGTTCCTACTTTTTTCTAGTGCATCATCAGAGGAGGAGGTAGATAGGACAGATAATAGTAAATAAATAGCATAATTTCATCTTAAATTCTGTGGAGAAATAATGAGAATGGGGGGTTAGACAGTGATTAGAGGTATTTTTATAGGAGGTTCTCTGTGAAGGTAATGTTTGTGCAGAGACCGTGAGCAAAGTACTGCCTCAGTCCCACCTTCTCTGCCTTGCAGTTTCATTTTCCCAGTTGCAGTTACTCATGGTCATCTGCAGTCCAAAAATATTTCATGGAAAATTCCAGAAATAAACAATTCATAGGTTTTAAATTTCCCTCCGTTCTGAGCAGCGTGATGAAATCTCGCAGCGTCCTGCCCGGGACATGACTCATGCCTTTGTCTAGTATATCCACACTGTATACGCCACGATCCACCCACCTGTTAGTCACTTAGTAGCCGTCTCAGTTATCAGATCGACTGTTGAGGTATCACGGTGCTCGTGTTGAAGTCACCCTTATTTTACTGAATAATGGCCCCAAAGCACAAGAGTCGTGGTGCTGGCAACTCAGATATGCCAAAGAGAAGCCGACAAGTGCTTTCTTTAAGTGAAAAGGTGAAAGTTTTGGACTTAATAAGAAAAAGAATCATATGCTGAGGCTGCTAGGATCTACGGTAACTTTTATTGCAGTATATTGTTATAATTGTTCTGTTTTATTATTACTGTTGCTAATCTCTAACTGTGCCTAATTTATAAATTAAACTTTATCATAGGTATGTATGTGTAGGAAAAAACATAATATAGAAAGGATTCGGTACTGTCCCCACTTTCAGGCATCCACTGGGGGTCTTGGAACATATCTCCCTTGGATAAGGGGAGACCACTGTAAACTAGCAAGTCTTTGAAAGATCAAAGCGAAAGAACATTTACAACAGGAACAGCAGGTACAGAGGCCCTGGAGTTAAGATCAAGCCTTTTAGAGTGACAGAAGAACAGACTTTGTAGCATAGTTGGAAATGAAGATGGAGGGTTGGGAGTGGCCACGTAACAGAGGAATGTCTAAGCCAGTAGTCAGCAAACTGTGACCCATGGGGCAAGATCCAGCCGTGAATGTTTGAGCTAAGAATGATTTTATATTTTACAAGGTTGTGTTTAAGTAGGGGAGGGAATGAAGCTGTCATAGAGGTTTTATGTGGCCCACAAAGCTTGAAATATTTACCATTTGACCTCTTGTAGAAAAAGTAGGTTATGTTTTATTGGAGCAATCTGAACAAGGATGTGATGTGATTGTATTCATGTGTGTCAAACAGGTTGTAGTGGGGTTTGGCACAGCGGAAGTGAGGAAATGAGTTAGAACCAGTTGGGATAATCCTGGTGGGAGATCACTGTGGAACGAGGGGGGACCTGGAGGTAGTGAGAAGAATTGGATCATGGCTCTCTTTTTACAGGGAGTGCCATTAAGAATTGCTGTGGGATTGAATTGGGTATGTTGGAACACACAGACTATAGACTATTCCTCATTTTTAGTCTCAAGGAATGTATACCCATTATTTTTAAACCTGTAAGTATATAAAATAAATTCCCACATGCCCCCACTCTTCAGAGGTATCCACTGTTAAAAATGTGCCTATGTCCTTTCAGACACTTCTCACTTTCACAGAAGCACTGTCATATTGCCCAGCAACCCTCATTGTTCACTTAATATATCACTCACATTTTTTGTGTGAATACCTAGAGAAATTTGACTCATTCTTTTTAGTGGGGTGAGTGTGTGTATGTGGCTATACACACACCATAATATTTTTTATGGAGGAATGTTTTAAGTTCTTGCCAATCTTTCATAAATAGAAAAAAGCTACAATGACTGTATGTTAAATTTTAAATTTTGTTTCTAGGTCTCATGCTGTGGCATGTGTCAATCAGTTTATCATCAGTAGGACTCAAGCTCTGATGTTGCACATTGATTCTTTTATTGAGGTAAGATTTGTCGTCCCCTGCTTTGTTTTTGAGAAAGTTAGGAAATACTCATTAAATGTAGTTTTATAGCTATAATAATTTGTAATTATGAACTGTCAATATTTAGTTAAATTATTTCTGATAGTATTAAAATTGGGTACAGTATTGGCTTTGTAATTTTTAACTGAAAAGCTCTTTTCCTCTGTTACTGAGTTTTCTATTTGTATGGTGATACAAACATTGATTATGGAGTGTGTGTGTTTTTAATATCTTCACTATAAAAATTTCTGCTCCAATATACTATTCAAATTGCATATGGAAATGAAACCTTCCAGCTCATTTGCAGTATTTGAAACATGAAACATTGGTAAGGTTGGATCAATTTAACCTGATAAAGAACCTGAAGGCACAGACTAAAAGGAAGGTCCTTCTATTTTTCCATTGGTTTCCGTTGTAAAAGGTGTCAGGGAAAAAATTGACTCCTAAATCTCAGCGTGCATTTTCTAAAGGCACTTTTTAACTTGATAAAAGCAGAAAGACAACAAAAGGATAATTTTCTGACCATAAATTTCTTTTCAAAACTTCTACCGCTTGATAACAGCAATTGTGAAAGAATTGTTCCTTAAGCACTTTGCTTTATTTTCAACAAGTGAAATTGAATTAAGTAGTCCATTCCTTATCGTCTGTCCTTGAAAAAAGTCCTTCAGAGGCCATAACTGCTGGTATTTCTGTTAGGAAATATAAGAAAGGGGGAAAAAATGTCGTTTTTCTTCTTATCACTTAAATTGACAAGCTTCTTTCCGAGCATCTTTTACTAATGGACTACAAGTAGTGCCATTAGGATCCTCTACCATTTAAAAGTTGAAACCAAACATGTCTTGAATGATTTTACTGAGTACCTACTGTGAGTCAGGCACTGTGCATGGTGCTAGGGATACATAAGTAAATTTTATGCCTCAAGATGTTTTCAGTCTGGTTTGGTATAGAGGGTAGTGCGTGGCTTGATGAGCAGTGCTAAGTGCGCACCTGGGATCCAAACTTGAAAACCGGGGCCACCAAAGCACAGCGTGCAGACTTAACCACTACGCCACCAGGCCGGCCCTGGGATTTTACTTATTTTTTTAAATGATCTTTTCACTGCTTTTAATGCATGGGTGTATGTTTGTGTGTGTGAATAAAGTAAAACCTCAGGAGTGAGATGGGGAACCTTATTACTTTTTCTTCTCACATCCCACTAGCATCCTCTTACAAAGAGACAACTTGTTCTTGTAGTGGTGGCTTGTTAAAGTAGCGAAATGAGTGTGGACTTATTTATGAGTCTGTGAAAACCAGATTCTGATCCCCAGCTGTCTAGCATGTTACTTACTGTCTGAACTTCCGTTTCTTTATCTGTAAAATTGAATAATAAATCTTGGGGTTGTGAAGATTAAACGAAATAGTCAGTTGTTCATGCTGAGATTTTTTTTTTTTTTTTTTTTAACCTTGTAGGGAAACTTGTTAAGAATAGCATAAGATCGATTGCTGCTTATTTTTTCAGTTGACTTGGTAGACAGCAACAGCTTAGGGTTGCGTTGTCAGAAACCCGGTATATGTTTCCTCATTATTGATGCTTTTATAAAACTTGTACCTTAGGAATCAACTTAGGAATCAGAGTTGAGGAGCTGGCCTGGTGGCGCAGTGGTTAAGTTTGGGTGCTCCATTTCAGCGGCCTGGGGTTCGCCCATTCAGATCCTGGGTGCTTATCAAGCCATGTTGTGGTGTCCGACATACAAAGTAGAAGAAGATGGGCACAGAAGTTAGCTCAGGGCCAGTGTTCCTCAACCAAAAGGAGGAAGATTCACAACAGATGTTAGCTGAGGGTCAATCTTCCTCACCAACAAAGAAAAGAATCTGGGTTGTTAGGAATAATTTCTTGACAGACAGTAATTTTGAAGGGTAAATCAAATGGTCTTTTAATGATTCTCTCTACTTCTGGGTGAGCTGAACGAATGCCCCTGTGTCCTAATGACATGGTTTTATTCTCACAAACTAAAAATTACCTCAAAACACAACTGATCATACTCTATCAAAGAATGGCTTTAGATCGCTTACCAAAATCATAATTTTTGGAAATTATCCTACATTTAATTGCCTTACTTTATAACCTAATATTGTAGGCCAGTTTATTCAGTCTTTGTATTGTATCTTCTTAGGTTTCTTTAAATGTTACCACCTTGCAGATTACTGGTTATTATATATAAACCTTTCTAATATACTGGAATATTTTAACTACAAAAAAATATTTCTTGTGCAATAGAATCTCTTTGCATTGGCTGGTGATGAAGAACCAGAGGTACGAAAAAACGTGTGCCGAGCACTTGTGATGTTGCTTGAAGTGCGAATGGACCGCCTGCTTCCTCACATGCATAATATAGTCGAGGTAACACAGGCAGTTTAAAGGCCTGCTCCTTGTTGTTCCCCCAAGAAAAATCCTGGGCACAAAGTTTACGATGTGAAACCGCTGTTTGCCAGTTTATTTAACACATAAAAAATAGGATTGTCATAGGGTTAGAAATTATCTTTATGGTGATTTTTCTTTGATGATATTTAAGATGTTAAAGAGGGGAGAACTTGTTTAAAGGAGTAGATAGCTTTTAACCAGGATAACTAGGAAATATTTAGATTGTGTTTTTTAGATATGGGTTAGGCTAAATGATCCATAAAACTGGTAGATTAAGTGGCATGTTCTTGTGTCACTGGAGTTTAGAATTTAAAGAGTTGTTTTCTAACCATTCCTGGTAAAATTGATCTGATGAACTTGTGACTTATGGTCCCAGTGAGATTTCTGAGTAGAAAATATGTAACCATTATAGTTAGTTCCAGCAAACCATTTAGATTTTAAAAGGCCCTCTTTCAATCTCCATGCAATTAAAATAACTTTACTAGGAAATTCTAAGTACATTGATCACTGTTTAGCCATTTTTAAAGGAAGGAATACATGATAACAAGGTATAATTATTATTAGAACAAAATAATTTGGGCAGTGCTCAGTACTGCTTGCATCAGACTCTGCCACCTGGCTTGCCTGTTACTGGATGTAGTTGTACATGAGTGATATATGGCTTTGCAAGTGTATTAAATAGGACGTTATCTAGGTCCTCCCTTTCCCTTCCAGAAGGCCATCTGGTGTGGAGAGGGAAGGTCTTTTCCTAAAGGATGGGATCTAAAACCTGGGAGAAGAGAGTTAGCACCTATAATGTGCAGCAGCTCTCATTCTAATACCTTAGCAAGGATAATTGTAGAGATGAGGAGATGTAGCAGCATGAGATGGGGATAAGTGACGTTTTCTCTGATGAGCCTCTTCTCTCTGTGAAGTGTTGTGAAGAGTCAGTGGAGCTGGTTGAAAGTTGGCAGGAGAGATTAGAGTTACCCCGAGAGTTACAGCCATTTTATCGTTTGCTGGGGCCGTGTCACAGCGGGAGCCTCATGTATAATGCTGCAGGTCTTCAGCCGTGCTCAGCTTAGTGGTGGGACATGGTGTGGGTGTGGTGGCAGCTGGCCTGTCACACTGCTGTGTCGTCACACTTTGTCGTGTGAGATGTTTCAGTTAGGCAGAGGATGGGTACGAAGAATTTGTCCGTTGACCCCAATTCCAGTCTAAGGTACACTGGGAAATTACACACGTCCCTTTGACAAATACAGTTTTGTTTTTGTGTGCAAGGGCTTTTTTAAAGGAGGATAGACACTATGTCTTTGGATAGATTGGGGAATCAGATGTTCCTCCAACAAAGAATGAATTTTGCTTGGTATGTTAGAGGACATGATAGGCCTGTTTTGTTGGAAACTACAGATTAGAGTTGCGTTACAAAATGTCACTACTTTGCAAATTAAAAAAAAATTAACTTTTGTAATTGTGTATGTCAGTATCTCTCTAAATATGTGAAAGTATATCCATTACAGGAGACAGTTTGAGTGGTTATGTTGTAAAAAAGATTCTTCATTTTAAGAAAGGTATTAGGGAGGTTTTTACTTTAATGTTTCTGAGAAGACTTAATGTTTGATTATTAATACATTTTAAACATCTCAGTGGTTTTATGAAACGAAGTACACCTGTACGGGAGCAGGTAAACAACACGTGTTGAATACTTTTCGTTAGGCAGAGTTGTAAAGCGGTAGTTCTAAGTGTGCGTGCGTGTTGGAGCTGACTAGGAAACTTGTTTCAAGTCCAGAGCCTGGGTTGAGAACCACTCTGAAGTGCAAGGCCATGGCAGAGGACCCTTATCTTGCTGAAATGGGATTAGGTTTGTTTTGATTGTATGATTTGAATTGATTAATTTTAACTGTAAACTTTTGTTTACAGTACATGCTACAGAGGACCCAAGATCAAGATGAAAATGTGGCTTTGGAAGCCTGTGAATTTTGGCTCACTTTGGCTGAGCAACCAATATGCAAAGATGTACTCGTGAGGCATCTTCCTAAGTAAGTGTTTCTTCTTATGGATGCTACCTTTGTTCTTAAATTTAACAGTGATTTTTCATTTTTATATTTTTAGGTTGCATTCTTCTGCCACCAGGGACTGAAGTTCTGAAGAAGTCAGACTTAATTTTACTGTTGGCAGAAGTAGAGAGAGTTTTCAAGAAGCAATTACATTTCTTTTAATTATGTGAGGATGGTTTATTCTAAATCATAATTAATTTTGGGTAATTCAGGACACAGCTCCTTTTTTTAATAATCCTTATAGTTTGACCATGGACTCTGGTCGGGATTTTTTCTGAAAAAAATCATTTCCTGCTAGTTGTGATGCTCTGAAATTTTTCGTTAATCTATTGTTAATCCTATTTTTAACCCAGTGAATGCTGTTAAATCAGGTTTTTGTTTTGCTGAGGAAGACTCACCCTGAGCTAACATCTGTTGCCAATTTTCCTGTATTTTGTATGTGAGCCACTGCCACGGCATGGCCACTGATAGGCGAGTGGTGTAGATCTGTGCCCAGGGACTGAACCTGGGCCGCCGAAGTGCCATGTGCTGACCTTACCCAATGGGCTGCTGGGGCTGGCCCCAGTTATTTTTTTAAATAATGTTTTTTCCAGTTTTGTAGAGTTATAATTGACCTAAAACATGGTATTAGTTTGGTATCTACAGCATAATAATTTGATATATGTATTTGAAAAGTAATGCTTACTTTCTTTTGAAAATAAAGTAATACAGGCTTGTGGAAGAAAATTAAAATGCAGAGAACTTAAAATCTCCTAGATTTTCACCACCCTGAGTATTCACTGTTAGTATTTTTGATGTGTTGTCTTTTAATGTTCGTTTGTTTTCCCTTGTGTTGGTACCGTATACCAAATACCGTGTTTTCAGGGTGTTTTTAAACTTGGTAGTATGTAGAGCATTTAACAGGGCGTCTACCTATAGTTAGTGCTGAAATGTTTGGTTATACTCTTTTCAGTTATTGTAGCTTGTGTGCTGTCTGAATCATAAATAATCCTGGAGTGAGCATCTTTCTTTGTCCGTAAGTGGTGGTTTCTTTTAGGTGGAATTCCTGGAAGTGATTTTTACCAAGCTCCTAGGGTCTGAGCATTTTAAAGCTTCTTCGTAAATATTCCAAATTGTTCTCTAGTGAAGTTATGCCACTTTACACCCCACCAGCAGTGTCCTGTCACATCTTTTGCCAGCCATTAGTTATAATTTCTCTAATCTTACCAAAATGGATAAGCAAAAAACAAAACCATTTGTTTTCTTTTTTTTCAGTTTTTTTTTTTATTGAGTTATTGATAGGTTACAATCTTGTGAAATTTCAATTGTACATTAATGTTTGTCAGTCATGTTGTAGGTGCACCACTTCACCCTTTGTGCCCACCCCCCACCCCACCTTTCCCCTGGTATCCACTAAACTGTTCTTGGTCCATAGTTTTAAATTCCTCTTGTGAGTGGAGTCATACACAGATTATCTTTCTCTCGCTGGCTTATTTCACTTAACATAATTCTCTCAAGGTCCATCCATGTTATTGCAAACAGAATGATTTTGTTCTGTTTTGCAGCTGAGTAGTATTCCATTGTATATATGTACCACATCTTCTTTACCCATTCGTCTGTTGCTGGGCACTTAGGTTGCTTCCACGTCTTGGCTGTTGTAAACAGTGCTGCAATAAACATTGGGGTGCACAGGACTTTTGGGATTGCTGACTTCAGGCTCTTTGGATAATTACCCAATAGTGGGATGGCTGGATCGTATGGTAGTTCTATTTTTAGTTTTTTGAGGAATTTCCATACTGTTTTCCATAGTGGCTGCACCAGTTTGCATTCCCACCAGCAGTGTATGAGGGTTCCTTTTTCTCCGCAACCTCTCCAACATTTGTTGCTATTAGTTTTAGATATTTTTGTCATTCTAACGGGTGTAAGGTGATATCTTAGTGTAGTTTTGATTTGCATTTCCCTGATGATCAGCGATGATGAGCATCTTTTCATGTGCCTATTGGCCATCAGTATATCTTCTTTGGAGAAATGTCTGTTCATGTCTCCAGCCCATTTTTTGATTGGGTTGTTTGATGTTTTGTGGTTGAATTGCGAGAGTTCTTTATATATTAAGGATATTAAGCCTTTGTCAGATATATGACTTGCAAATATTTTTTCCCAGTTAGTGGGTTGTTTTTTTGTTTCAATCCTGTTTTCATTTGCCTTGAAGAAGCTCTTTAATCTGATGAAGTCCCATTTGTTTATTCTTTCTATTGTTTCCCTTCTCTGAGAAGACATGGTGTCCGAAAAGATCCTTTTAATACTGATGTCAAAGAGTGTACTGCCTAGCTTTTCTTCCAGAAGCCTTATGGTTTCAGGTCTCACCTTTAGGTCTTTAACCCATTTTGAGTTTATTTTGGTGAATGGTGAAAAAGAATGGTCAATTTTCATTCTTTTACATGTGGCTTTCCATTTTTCCCAGCACCATTTGTTGAAAAGACTTTCTTTTCTCCATTGTATGCCCTCAGCTCCTTTGTCAAAGATAAGCTGTCCATAGATGTGTGGTTTTATTTCTGGGCTTTCAATTTTGTTCCATTGATCTGTGCACCTGGTTTTGTACCAGTACCATGCTGTTTTGATTACTGTAGCTTTGTAGTATGCAAAACCATTTGTTTTAATATATTGTCGTGTTAGTGGAGTCATATTTTTTTCAGATGTTTACGGTACTTGGATGTTCTCGTTTTCATATAGGCGAGTTCTTTTTCTTTTCTCACTAGGAAAGCAACAATTCCATCTATATTTTATTCCAGCCAATCTGGAATTTATTTGGGAGTAAAGTGAAAGGTGATGTGCTAAATGGATTTTTTCCTTCAGGAAGTCAATGTATTGATTTTTCTTCCTTTTCGCCCTAACTTGTGATGTCGCTTTTATGATATGGTTGTTTCTTACTATAGGATTGTATCATTCTAAAAATCCTATAAAGAGATGTTAATTCTTATAAAAGCTAAAGAGATTTTATTAATGAAAACCCAAGCTATAACATTAGGAGATAATTACCGATAGTACACAATTACAGCTAGATGCTCCAACTCTGTCATTAGACTAATAAAATCTAAACGTCCTTGGAGCAGGTGGGAACTTGGTAGCAGGCTGAAAAATCAGCACTTCCCTTTTTGCTGTGCTGATTAATTAGTGCAAACATTGTAAACAGCTCAGTGCCAGCATAGCTGGGTTTGATTTATATGTCTTCCAGACCACTCTTTGGGAACCATTTTTATATAAAACAAGGCTGCTTTTATTTCAGTTGAAATAATGCATTGTGAAGATGGGAAAATATCAGCATGTATCTGATGCTGACATAAAAAAAAATGTGATAAAAGAGCTTGTTTTTCCAAATAGCTCTGTTAACCAGACTCTTGTTTAGGATGAGCAAAAAAGGTTTGCCTGGGCATCAAAATTGTATATATAATGAGATCGCTCTTCTTTATATGGACTCACAAAGAAAGTACTCATGTGACAAGGGATGACATTAAATTCTTTTTTCTGTTTCTGGGCTGTATAGTCTGCTCTGTTTTTTTTTAAGCAGTAGTATACTCTTAATTATTGAACATTTAATAATGTTTTTTGCTACCTGGTAAAGCAGGTCTTCATTTCCTTTCTCTTTTTCCTCCAAAATTATTTTTACTTTTTTCCACCTTTATTCTTGTACATTGATAGCTCCTGGGCCTGTAATTCATGTAGAACAATTAACCCAATGCCCAGCACATATGTAAGTATTGAGTAAACGTTCATCGTTGGTATTAACATTATTGCCCTTCCGTGATGTAGCATAGAAAGTTCTTATTTTCAGTGGCTACCTTAGGCTTCAGGAGAATGATTCTTAACAGTTAGACCTCTTCAAAGATACAGTCTGCCTTGCATGATTGGAATTCAGCAGACACACGCCATCTTGCCACATGGTCACAGTTAACTCCCGCATCTCTTCCCAGCCTCATTTTCTTACTTGCCCAGCTGTTTGGGTCCTTATTTCCTGCACATCTACTTTTATTCTCTCTCTGGCACAGACGTTGTGATCCACACATCAACTGCACTGACCATCAGCCTCCAGCTGCCCTGCATCTCCCCTGCTCTGGATTAATTGAACTCTCTTTGCTTCTTGTGCAATCCTGTTGGGAAAAGCTGCCTTGCTGGGAGGATTGATGGCCGTAGCACCCATGGCCTTCAGCGCCAAGTGGACCTTCACACACCTGCCAATTTGTTCTGTTCCAGATCAGCTTTTGTCTTCCATTCACCAGAGCAGCTGTTTCAGACCTTTATCCCTCTTCTGAAGTTCTCTTCATTCAGTGTGTGAGCACTTCTGTTTATAGGGGAAACAGGGCACCCTCCATCTTGCCCCAAAATTAACAGATATCTTTTCATGTGAGTTATCCTTTTCCTAACCAATCTATTTATGGTCTTGGATGGCATGATTTTTTCCTTATTCCAGGGACCTCACTCCATCAGGTAAGATGTATTCTCTCAACTTTCCCCTTCTGTTGCGTCTTCTCCATAACTTTTTAACTTGCTGCCATTTCTTCCATCTTAAAAAGATTCAGAGAACAGATGAGGCTCTGTCTTCACTTACCTCACCTCCTGTTTAGCTCTTCAGTACTGTACAGTCTGCCGTCTGTCCTCAGCACTTCCCTGAAATTATCGACAAAGATCGTAAATGATTTAACTATTGGTGATGCAGATGGACCTGGTTGTCCTACAAAATGCCTGTAGCTTACAAAATATGGTTCTATGTGTTATAAATTTTTTCTTGTTCTTTTTTTTTTGTGAGGAAGATTCATCCTGAGCTAACGTCTGTTGTCAATCTTCTTCCTTTTTTTTGCTTGAGGAAGATTAGCCCCAAACTAACATCCATGCCAGTTCTCTAATTTGTATGTGGGATGCCTCCACAGCATGGCTGGTCTGCACCTGGGATCTGAACCCACGAACCCCAGCCCTGAAGCAAAGTGTGCAGAACTTTAACCACTTAGCCATCAGGCTGGTCCCACTATGTATTATACGTTTTATTTAGTTGTGTTATACTATCTAAATGTTAAATTACTATTAGTCTTTCTCTTTTAGAATTTAGAAGGACTTTGAGTGTGGAAGTTTGGCTGGCTCACATTTTTACATCTATCCAGGGGATTTTAAATCCCACTGCTTCTGTTTCCCTGTTAGTAGTGCTTTAATTAACGAAGGCTTGCAAAATTATCTCGTTGATAGAAGAGTTGTGCTAAGAAGTGGTTTCACACCTATTTATTAAGTTGACGTTAGAGCGTGTAACTGAAGTAAGGCCTCAACAAAGGCTGAAGACAGTGTAGGCAGTGAGAGTTTCTTGTGTCCGGTGTAGGGAAAGAATTGTCTTTGGAGTCAGGCCCAACTGGTATTGAATTCTGACTCTCCCATTCACTTAAAGCTTATGACCTTGTGGAGATAATGTAACCTCCCTGAGCTTGAGTTTACTCCTCTGTAAAATGGGGATCACTAGATTAGAAGGAAGGAGCCTGTTGATCAGCCCACAGCTGGCACTCTGAGCCTGAGTTTCTTTTGCCTCTTCATACTTCCACTCTTTTCCCAGGACAGTTAAAGGTAGAATTTGGAAGCAGAGGACTGTGGACTTTGTTAAACGTTTACAAAGTGTTCTGGTACCTTTTGTCCTCAGTAGACTCTTTCATGTGTGTTTGATGGGCCAGTGAGAAAAAAATTACCAAAGCTTAAAATTATTACAGCCAAAAATGGGGGATGTTTGTTAGTATATTTTGCATAAATTCTTAGGGGAGAAATTGCTGGGTTTTTGTTATTGTTTTTATTTCTAAGCACTATATATATATATTTTTTAAAGATTTTATTTTTCCTTTTTCTCCCCAAATCCCCCCAGTACATAGTTGTGTATTTTTAGTTGTGGGTCCTTCTGGTTGTGGGATGTGGGATGCCGCCTCAGCATGGCTTGATGAGCAGTGCCATGTCCGCCCCCCAGGATCTGAACCGGCAAAACCCTGGGCCACCAAAGCAGAGCGTGTGAACGTAACCACTCAGCCATGGGGCCGGCCCCCGTAAGCACTATTGACAAGCTATCATATTCCCACTAAGATTCCATCCATTAAGTCTGTGCCTGAATATATAAAAGGCCTGAGATGCATGTCAGGAGTACTCATCATGTGAGAAGGGCAGACATCACAGAATATGCGCCAAGACCCGTGTTGGCTGAGGTTAACTCACTCGTATTGTGGTTGTGTCCTCATATTACTAGTATACATATGGTTGTTAAGACTTTTTAATAACTGTGTTGAGATCTTTGTTTCATGAATTCCTTTCCCTCTAGGTTGATTCCTGTGTTAGTGAATGGCATGAAGTACTCAGATATAGATATTATTCTGCTTAAGGTAAGGAAGGTTTTCTGTGAACAGAGATTATTTTTATTGACTGAGTAAATCTTTGAATTTGACTAGTAGAACATCCATTTAGCATAGACTATGTCAATAAGCTTTCCGTTGTATATTCTGTGCTACAGAGTTCAAAGACAGAAGCAAACAATGGATTTGGGTGGAAATTGATCCAGCTTAATTGGAATTAAGTGGTGACCCTAGTAGACTTAGCTTTAATTTTCTGTTGATTCAGATTACCTAGAGTTTATTTTAAAAGATCTTGTAAATATGATCTGAATTTGATTCGGGTGCTCTGGATCATACCAGCTGGTGGTAGGCAATCTAATGCAATTGAAGTACCCGTCACCTGACAGGTGTTATATGATAGTCTTTTCTTCCCTTCACAGGAACTGTTCTCTGCACAGGGAGTGGTTCTTATTGAAGGATTAGGCTTCAAAATCCTGTGCATGACCCCATCTCTGGATATTCTGATTCTTTTACTCATGTGCCTATTATTAGCTTAAAATGAATAACACCAAAATTTTCCCTTTTGAAAAAACAGGGTGATGTTGAAGAAGATGAAACAATTCCTGATAGTGAACAGGATATAAGGCCACGTTTTCATCGATCAAGGACAGTGGCTCAGCAGCATGATGAAGATGGAATTGAAGAGGAAGATGATGATGACGATGAAATTGATGATGACGATACAATTTCTGACTGGAATCTAAGTAAGCCAGAGAGGGAAAAGCAGAGTTGTCTGCTTTGATAACAGTATTATCAAGAAATAATTCACGTATCATACAATTCACCCATTAAAGGGTACAATTCAGTGGTTTTTAGCATATTCACAGAGTGGTGCAACCATCACCACAATGAATTTTGGAACTTTTCCGTCACCCCAAAAAGAAACCGCATCCCCATTGCAGTCACTCCCCATTTTCTGCAAGTCCCCCAGCCCCAAGCAACTACCAGTCTGTGTTCTCTCTCTCTAGGTTTGCCTGTTCTAGACTTGCCCTATAAATGGAATCCTATAGTGTGAGGTCCTCTGTGACTGTCTTCTTTCACTTCGCACGTTTTCAAGATTCATCCATGTAGTAGCATATTTCAAGACTTCACTCCTTTTTATTATGGAAGAATAATCCATTGTATGTGTAGACCACATCTTATTTATCCATTCGTCAGTTGATGGACATTTTGTTGTTTCTCCCTTTGGGCTATTGTGAGCAAAGATGCTGTGAACTTTTGTATAAAGTTTTAAGTGTAGATGTATGTTTTCACTGGGTCATATGGTAACTGTTTAACCTTTCGAGGAACTGACAGACTGTTTTCCGAAGTGGCTGTACCACTTACTTTCCCACCAGCAGTGTCTGAGGGTCCCTGTTTGTCTGCATCCTTGCCAACACTTGTCTGTCTTTTTATTACAGCTCTTCTAGTGGGTGTGAAGTGGTATCTTTCTGTGGTCTTGGTTTGCATTTTCCTGGTGGGCTTTTCTTATGTTTAATCTTCATTATATTCCTTAAGAAGACTTCTTACCTCAAACTCCTGTTTCTCAAAAGACTATCTATTGTTTGATACTATAAAATAGAAACATTGGCCACAAGCTTTTCCTGTTTTCCTAACATAAACTCATTTTTTGTGATAATTTGCATGACAATTAGCTGATTATCATGGATAATTCTAAAATAATATAAATTGCTTTGTCATATTAAACTTACAAAATATGCTTTTTTAAATCTGTTAGCTTCCAACCTTTGCTGCAAATCCACATCATCTGTTGAGCCGGCATCCTAGGCTGCACTCTGATTAAATAACTCTGGGGAGGAACCGAGACACGTCTGTTTCACTTGCTTGCTTGCTGGTTTTTAAAGCTCTGCTGCTCTAGTTCAGGGTTTCTCAACCTCAGCATTATTGACATTTTAGGCCACGTAATTCTTTGTTGTGGTGGCTGTCCTGTACTTTGTAGGATGTTGAGCAGCATCCCTGACCTCTGCCCGGTAGGTGTCAGCATCACCCACACACACACAGTTGTGACCACCCACAGTGTCTCCATACATTGCCACATGTCCCCTGGAAAACACAATCACCCCTGTTGAGAACCACCACTGTAATTCAGAGTTGGGATTTCTAGGACCTGATGATGTGGTTAAGAACATAAATCATCAGCCTGGACTGTGTGGTTGGTTTGGTTAAATAGTGGTCATTCCTCTGTTGCCAGTTTAGCTTCCTATAACTAGCAGTTGCTCAGAGTGCCTGATATGCATTGCCCTGAGCCAGGGACTTTGTGCACATGCCACGTTTAATCTTTCCAGCAGCCTCACGTAGGTAAGGAAGCTAGAGAGAAACTTGCCCATGGTTAGCACAGTCCTGGTGGCACGTCTAGTGTTGGAACCCAAATCTCACACAGGACGGGAACCCACAATCTTTACTGCTACACAAATTACCTTATGTGTACTTCAACTTTCATGTGGGCAGCAGGAGGGGTTTGTGATTACAATATAGGTAACTACCAAAGAAATAATGTACATTGAATTGGGGGAAAACTACTTCCTCTTTACGCCCCACCCATCTTTACATGTCCTTCCCTAAGTTTTTCTGCGCACATACAGACAAACACATGTGTATCTTCGTTTTTGGAAGGGAGGCTGACTTTGCAGATTGAAATCAGATTATATGTACTCTGCTGGCTCTTTTCCATGTATCATTTAACTAATTCTGTGTCTGCACATATAGATTCATTCTGTTTCATAGCAATCTATTCATTTGTAAGGATCTATTATACAGTATAACTGAGACCCTTGTTGAGGAGTAAGCTGTTACTTCTGGCCAATGTAAAAGCTTTTTTTTTTCCCTAAGGATTTTACTGTTGTCTACTAGTTTGTGACTAACCGTTTATTATGCCTAGTTCACATTGGGGGAAAAATTTGGATACTTATATTTTCGTTCTTTTCAATTTTTTTGTTCTTTTTAAATTAACAGTAAATGAAATCTGAATTGATGTATAATTCCATAGTTAATAGCTCCTTTGTCTGTAAAGAATGTTTTCGAGCATATTTTATGCTTCACGTGCTGGTGACTTTTGATCCATTTTATTTGCCTAACCCCCACCTAAGTCATTACATATTTGATTCTGAATGATCTACCACTAGGAATGTTAAGTAGAAATAATAAACGTACACATTGTGCTGTGGGATTTTAACAGTGGGCATTGTGTCCTAGAAGCATTAAATTGAGTGGAAAAGTATTGATTTTAATTTTCTATATAGACAAAAGAATTCTCATATGACAGGCATGTACAGAATAGAGTGTCTTTATAATAAGCTTGCTAATTGTAATTCTTGGTCATAAAAAAGTATTCTTGTTAATAGAATTTTTTTCATGTGACAGACTGCCTCCTCTTTAATTGAGTTCTTTGAAACTGCAGAGGTATGAATGAAGTGTACATGCAACAGATACTCATTTTATGTATATATATAACAAAATGATAATAGACGTTAATGTTATATTTTTGAATTAACTATTTCCTTAGGAAAATGTTCTGCTGCTGCCCTAGATGTTCTTGCAAATGTTTATCGTGATGAGCTTTTGCCACATATTCTGCCCCTTTTGAAAGAATTACTTTTTCATCATGAATGGGTTATTAAAGAATCTGGCATCTTGGTTTTAGGAGCAATTGCTGAAGGTAAGTCGCAGTTACCTTTGAACTGTAGAGTTCTCAGTTGGCACCGCTGTGGCCAGGCTGCTGTCAGGAATTGTTACTCTCTAGGGAAAGACCGTTCACTCTTGAATTCACACACCCCTTTGCTCTTCTGTTGCTGATGTGGGGTAGACAAGACTGTGATCCACGTTTACCTTTAAAAGACTGTTTGAATCTAAAAGCCATCTTAGGATAAGTTTTTACTTTGAACCAGTTAGCTATTATTAATTAAAGAGCCGTAGGTTTACTTCTAACCCCAGTCAGATATTTTGCAAATGCTTCTGTTAAAGGGAACAGAATGAGAGGCCTCAGATGTCAGAAGCATCCCCATTGCTAAAAAAAAATAACTTTGTTCCATAGGTAAGTGTAAGAAACATGCTGAGTCAAGAGTGTTATCATCCTCTACAAAGGGTTGTTATTCTGTCCTGGCTGTATACCCCTGTGTACAAAAAACTGAAGTATCTTACAAGCATTTCTGAAAGCCATCAATTGTGTAGCAGACGTAAAATATGAGCTCCTAACCCTACTGGAAGATACATAGGGGCAGTTAGCTCTATTTCAGTTTTTTTTTTTTAACAATTTCGGGGCATATTATTACAGCACAGTCATGCATCGCTTTACAGGAGGGACATGTGAGAACTGCATCTTTGTGTGAACATCAGAGAGCGTACTTACACAAACCTAGATAGGGTACAGCCCACTACACACCTAGACTCTAGGTCCTAATCTTATGGGACCACCATCGTATATGTGCTCCATCACTGATCAAAACGTCATTAGGCAGCACATAAGTGTATATTTGTTGCAGTGGAGATGATCTGGATATTTTTTTATGGATGCGTGTGTTGGTTTAGTATTTAACTGAAATAATTTTGTTGTAACCAAATTTTAGCACTTTCTGAAAGATTTATTTTTTTCTAGGTTGCATGCAAGGCATGATTCCATACCTGCCTGAGCTCATTCCTCACCTTATTCAGTGCCTCTCTGATAAAAAGGCTCTTGTGCGTTCCATAACGTGCTGGACTCTTAGCCGCTATGCACACTGGGTAGTCAGCCAACCCCCAGACACGTACCTGAAGCCATTAATGACAGAATTGCTAAAGCGTATCCTGGATAGCAACAAGAGAGTGCAAGAAGCTGCCTGCAGGTGGGATGAATTCATAACAAAATGGGCATTGTGGGGGAAGAGAGTATTTCCATGAGAAACTAATTTCAGCCTTGTGGTGGAATGGTGGTATTAAACCATTGGTGGAGTTTTAGTACCTATAGTTTTCACATGAGGATTTTGTAAATCCAGGTGTGACTAACTATACATCAGTCTTCACTGGTTCTTCATTTTTTTCCACTCAGTGGCTATGATAATAGTAGAATTCTCTTTCACTCTAATTCACGCAGACATCTGGAGTGGTGATGACAAGGGTCCTACTCTTGCAGGAAGTAAGAAGTTTGAGCAGATTCCCATCACTGGTCTACAGTTAACTATCATTACTCCACAGAAGGTCCCATAGGGACTGTCATCTGTCGCTTAGTGCATCTGCTAGAGTAGCTGCTCTGGCCATTGTGTTCGAGGCTGTCTCTGTTTAGATGTCAGACCAGCAGTCAGTTTCATTACTACAGATATTCTGGTTTTCTGGAATAAACCTTTATGTTCTAAAAGGGGCCACTTTCATTTATAGCTCTTAATTTCTCAAATAGAATTGCTTTTACCATTGACTTTGTTAATAGGAAGAAATCACTGTTGAAAAAGAGGAAAGTCAGTTTAAATGGAGTTGGACTTTACCAAGTCTGAAGCAAAGTATCTGGGAGAGTTCTGATTCTTAATGAGATGAAAGTTGAACAAGGGGGCTTTGGGGATTGATAGCACTGAATTTTTTTAAGTAGGAGGAGGATACAGATTATGTTTAGTTTCTTGCAGTTTATTCATCCAGCAAGTTTTTTTAGATCCCTACTAATTGCTAGGCATATACCAAAGCTGGGCTTACAGCCCCTGCCCCCTCGAGACTTACAGGCTAGTGGGGAATACTGAACAGCTATATAATTACAGTTAATGGCAAGTGCTGTGAAGGAAATGGTTCGCAATGCTAATGACCAGGAGTTTCATTAACAGTTGGCTTAAGCCTATCATTTTAGGAAATTCTCAACTGGGTAGAACAGAAAATAATACAAACCTTAATTTTAGAAATGAAGGGCCAGATATACCTTAGAGTCAGACGAGTTTAGGTCTAAATTGAAGTAACTGCACTGAGACTCTGGACCTTCTCCTTTCTTACACAGTTGTCCTAACAGACAAGCCTCACATAATGCAGATTTATAGTAACAGATGCACTGTGCACTCTAATGCATAGTGTAGGGCTTAGAGAAACTTTTTTTTAACTTTATTGAGGAATAATTGACAAATATAATTGCGTATATTTAAAGTGTACCACGTGATCGTTTGATATACATATATATGGTAGAAAAGTTACCAAGATCAGGATAGTTAACACATCCATCACCTCACATGGTTAACGCAGGTCACTCACTCTTGTGTGTGTGGTGAGAGTGCTTACGACCTCCTCTCAGCAACTCTTGAGTATTCAGTACCGAATTATTAACTGCAGTCTCCATGCTGCACCTTAGAGCCTCAGAAGTATTCTAATAACTGAAAATGTGTGCCCTTTGACCCACATCACCCCATGTCCCCCTCCCACTAGGAGAAACGTGAGCGGTCGTGACACTGCTCTGTTCTTACACATCTCAAACACACTAAGTGTCAATGATGTTTCTACAGTTTTGTGACTGTTGGCATGCATCTGAAGGGCAAGGTGTACGTTAGAGTGTAGCATTTTCATTCTCATTTCACCAATCTGAAACGATCGCTGGAATGTAAGACCCCTGGGAACAGGGACATCGTTTGTTCGTTGCTCTGTCCCCAACACTCTAATAAATAGTAAACACCAAATAAATGTGTTGAACGAATAAATATGAGTCAGCATCGTTTTAGTTTTAGATTTTACCAGTGTAGTTAAGCAGATGCCTATAAGTGACAGCCTTTTTGAAAGAAGTGGTAAGGAATGGGAAAGAAATAATAAAACTAAGCACCTAGTGTGCTGCGTGTAAAGTGTAAATAGATATTCTCTCAACTTAGTTTCCTATCTCTGTTGTATTCTGTTCCTTTTCTGCAACAGTAATTTCCCTTTTTTTTTCTTTTTAACAATTACAGTGCCTTTGCTACCCTGGAAGAGGAGGCTTGTACAGAACTTGTTCCTTACCTGGCTTACATACTTGATACGTTGGTCTTTGCGTTTAGTAAATACCAGCATAAGAACCTGCTCATTCTGTACGATGCCATAGGAACGTTAGCAGACTCAGTAGGACATCATTTAAACAAACCAGTAAGTATCTCTGATTAACTAGGATGAAAAAATATGTAGCATAGTCACAATCAATAGGTTAACGTATATTCTGAAATTAAAATGTTTAGGGAGATATGAACACTTAGTGTTTGGTGCTTTAAGAATTTAGATCTTGAAAAGGCAGCAAGTGTATTTATCTTTTATAAAGTATGAAAAAATAAATATGTGCTTCATATTACAGCAAATTACAGGAAATTACAGCAGCATCTCACATGAATGCACCAACATTTTTTATGGTGACTAAGGGAAAAGGGATGAAGACTTCATACTCTGGATTTCCCTCGTTACTTTATTCCGAGTGTTTTCCATCTACCACTTAATAGCACAGCACCTTGAGAGCCCTGGGTCCGGGCAGCTTCGTTCTCTCACCGGACTCTCAGGTGTGGGGAGCACTGCAGCTTGAGAGTCCTGGGTCCAGACAGCTTCGTTCTGTCACCGGACTCACAGGTGTGGGGAGCATTGCAGCTTGAGAGTCCTGGGTCTAGGCAGCTTCGTTCTCTCACCGGACTCTCAGGTGTGGGGAGCACTGCAGCTTGAGAGTCCTGGGTCTAGGCAGCTTCGTTCTGTCACCGGACTCTCAGGTGTGGGGAGCACTGCAGCTTGAGAGTCCTGGGTCTAGGCAGCTTCGTTCTCTCACCGGACTCACAGGTGTGGGGAGCACTGCAGCTTGAGAGTCCTGGACCTAGGCAGCTTTGTTCTCTCACCGGACTCACAAGTGTGGGGAGTACACTAGATGAAACAGTTAGAAATTGGGGTAGCAGGTGAAAAATGCTCACTACGGTACCGAAGAAGTGTGGCTAAGGAGCCAGAGAGACCCTGTCTCTTGTGGTGTTAAGGGTGGAAGAGGAGGGTGCGATTGGATTCGTTTAAGTAGGGTCTAAGGAATAGAATTTTAATAGAGCTCAAAACTCCCCGCTGAAGGGATTTCATCTTCATGATTGCTATAGGAAAAGTCTTCAAAATCGTGTCTTTAGGTTATACTTAAAACTTGGTACAGGGCACTTGGTTTGTGGGTTTGCTTTGATGTTGGTTTTGTTTTTGGGAGGGGGTTTCTAAATGTCTCAGACCCTTCAGAATCTGTGCCCCTTGTTGACATGATCACTGTGTTTATTTACCTGGTTTTATGGATTCTTCAGTTTAAATAAGGACATGAATCCTTTTCTACAGACGCCTCTGTAAGTTTACCTGTCATTTATAACGTACGGTGCCTCAAGAGCCAGTATTATGTCCCAGGCCCCAGGACTGAAAAGATTGTCGCTAGAGTGTAAAACTTAGACAAATCATCCCTGATTGTGCTCATGTAATCTTTATGTAGTGGTATATTTGTATACGTTTTCTTTCTAAAAGGATATAAGATGACTTTAAAACAGAACACGGTCATGTAAATTAAAAGGCCAAAACAGTAAAATTTTTAAAGGTGCTAAGTAGAACAAAGAATTAGTCTTAATATGCATTCTGTAACGATTTTACACAATTACTCTAAATGGGTTTTAATTTTCATAGACTCAAAATGGACTTATTTACATATGATAGTGGAGCTTTATGTGTTTTTCATCACTGTAAATAGGAATATATTCAGATGCTAATGCCTCCGCTGATCCAGAAGTGGAACATGTTAAAGGACGAAGATAAAGACCTCTTCCCTTTGCTTGAGGTAGGCCGAGCTGCTAACATGTAGTGAATCTGACAGTGTGTTTTGTCAGACACTCATGTCCAAATCTAAAGTGAGTGTCCAAATCTAAAGTGAGTGTATGTGATAAGTCAAGTGTTAATAAATTTGCAGTCTGAACCATTTCTGTTAAAATGCCGAGTAAATAGGTCACCTCTCATTAATTATGGTGCATCTATACTTAGAAACACTGTTGAATGGAAAAGGCATAATGGACTGTTAACGCTTTTTTTTTTTCCTTTAAGTAGAGATGATTATATATGTTTTCTAAGTTTCTCTACTTAATTGATAATAAATTATCTTGGAGATCTTTCCATATCTACATATGATATGTCTATTTTACCATATTTCTTTATATAGATATTAGCTATGCCATAATTAATAGTCATTCTTTTATATATTATCACGTATATACTCACACATGTATGTAAAGTAGCATTGGGACTTGATGCTAATAAGGAGGGACTTCACTTTATTTTTTGCTCTGTCTAGTTTGAATTTTTTCCATGCATATTAAATACTTTTTCTAACCAAAAAGAAATTTTATATGATAGCACATAACACACAATCAGATGTGGTTACTTAAACCTGGATGAATTGCTCTTGGTAGAACCAGTTCAGTCATTGTTACTCTTGTTCCCACTGTCATTTGAGGGGTTACCACTTCTGCCATAGGTTGTCCCTAGCCAGTGAAGTAAAAACGTCTGTGACCAACAGCAGTGGCTAATTCTGGGCCCTACAAAACAAGAGTAATCATTATGGTTAAATCGATTTCTTTTCAGGCAGGGGTTCAGAATGTGCCCAGTAAAGTCTACCCATGTCATCGATCAGGATAGGAGGATAAGTAAATATCTCTCTTATATTTGAGGGAAAAAAATAGGAATACTTAATCTGTCGTTGAAGGATAACATTCATTATAGGAACTTTCTTGGTTTTTTCCCCAAGGAACCACCCCTGACAGGCTGGCAAACTTAACAGCAGGGAATGGCATCCAAAAGAGAGGTTTGAGAAAATAGACCTGCTGTGGCCAGCAAGGAGGGCAGGCTCCTAAGTGCTCAGGGTCTTAGCGAGTGAGTGTGGAGGCATTGATCATAATCTGAAGCACGCCCAGAAGTTTTCATGTACTTTATTCTTTCTAGTGCCTGTCTTCAGTTGCCACAGCCCTGCAGTCTGGCTTCCTTCCGTACTGTGAACCTGTGTATCAGCGTTGTGTAAATCTGGTACAGAAGACCCTTGCACAAGCCATGGTATTTAAAAAATTTGTACTTATCTCCCTTCTTGGTATCATAAACATTTTTCTAAGGATATGCGTAATGTATACGAACTTTTTCTGTAATTAATTCAAAGTAAGTTTTCAAAAAATTGTGTCTAATTTCAGCTGAACAATGCTCAACCAGATCAGTACGAGGCTCCAGATAAAGATTTTATGATAGTGGCTCTGGATTTACTCAGCGGCCTGGCCGAAGGACTTGGCGGCAACATCGAACAGCTGGTAGCCCGAAGTAACATTCTGACGCTAATGTATCAGTGCATGCAGGTGAGACTGGGCACATTAAAGCCGACTGAAACCTGCTTCTCTGTGTCACAGCGGATTAATCTCTCCTCATTTCTTGTAGGATAAAATGCCAGAAGTTCGACAGAGTTCCTTCGCCCTCTTGGGTGACCTGACAAAAGCTTGCTTTCAGCATGTTAAGCCTTGTATAGGTATGAATATTTTCTACTGCTGTGTGATTTTTAACATGGTGTTTACATCAGCTATGTTTTTTATTATTAAACTGAAATTTCATGGAATCCCGGCATTTATAAATGTGTATTCTACTAGTTAGAGCTACTGATTGAGGCAGGCAGGATGGGAACCCGTGTCTCTTGCTCCCCTGTGCTCGCATCAGTGCAGCCCTTTGGTAGGCACCGTGTGACTGGAGAGAAGGTGGAAAAGCATTCCTGTAGCGTGGAGGACATGCCACCTGTGAGACCTTGGTACCATGTGCTGGCTCATGGATACCTTTTGAATAGCCTCTTTTTGGTAGAGGTACCCAGAAGTAATAATAGTAATCAAGTTTTCTCATGATAAGCCAGCATACTTTTTCAGGTATCATAGGAAACTTTTCAAACAATTTACTTTAAAAGTAAATAATGGTTTGTTTCTGTTTTAATAGCATAGCATTTGTCTTAGCCTTTTGTGAACACAATAAAGGATTCCTTAAATACTGTAACCTGAATTGCTGTTGCACCCATGGATTAAATGGGGTTTCAGTTATTTTTCCTTCATTTCTATACCCAACCTTGGTTGTTTCTGATCCATGATTTAATAAACCTTTAAAACATTGACCTCAATGATTTTTTTCATTTGATACAGTTGTGCTTTTGAGTTTGAGGGTTTTTTCCAGTTTTATTGAGATATAATTGACACATAACATTGTATAAGTTTAAGGTGTACAGCACAGTGATTTGATACATGTATATAATGTGAAATGATTACCACAGTAAGTTTACTTAATATCCATCACCTCACGTAGTTAGAAAGGTTTTTTTCCCTTGTGATGAGAAGTTTTAAGATCTCTCTTCCACATTCACGTATACAGTATCCCTGGCTGTAGCCGCCAGGTAATACATCACATCCCCAGGACTGACTTACCTTATAACTAGACCTTGGTCCCTGTGACCCCCTTCACATGCTTCCACGTTGTGCTTTGAATAATAACTGTGTTTCTGAACTTTGAGTAATAACATTAATTAGGATGTGTTAAACCATTAAGTTTAAGCTCACTCCTCTAAATGAAAGTAATGAGTTCTTGTTTCATGGAAAGCTCCTTCTATAGGTACTTAGCATTTAATTTAGTAGTTAGGAGTTTAAACTTGTGTGAAAGGGTTTCATTTCTGTTTTATTTTAAAACTTTATAGATCACGTGTACCTTCTTCAGGAGGCACACAGTGTGTAGTTGTTTCTTTTTTCTCTGTTATCAGCCATGATGGTTGTTTGCTAGATACTGGTTCTCAACCCAGGTCAGTTTTGCTGCCATTCACGCCCCCTGCTGCAGAGCGTTCTGTTTACCACTGGGGGTTGCTGGTGTCCAGTGGGTAGAGGATGTTGCTAAACTGCCTGCAGTACAGGAGAAACTCCCCCCCACCACCACCCCACCCCCCACGAGAGTGAGCTGGCCCCAGTTACCAGCATTACCCAGATTAGAAACCCAGGCTTGGATCCACTAATTTATTGGGCGTTTGAAAAAAAAAAATGATGGTATTCTAATGCTTTGTTTAACAGTGAGAACACACATGTAGAGACATTTCCCATATCAATAAATTTTATGATTTATACCTAAAATACAAATCATACAGGAGAGGCAGGATAATTACTTGATTCTCTCTCTTTATTTACCAGTTTTCAAAATGATGAATTTTTTTCCAGCATGCTCCACAGGTATCTGTAGTGTGTTTTCAGTTTTTGAGTGTCAGTATGAACTCGGAATGCTTACGTTGCCCTCCGATGGCAGTGGGAGCTTGCCCAGTCAGCTCCTGAGTCCTCTCTGGGATGACAGCGTTGTCCAGGCCTGTTTTGTGCATTCCCTGCCCTTAGCCTGTAGGAGACATTTCTCTGAGAGCTTCCATTCCTTCTGAGTGGAAATGATATTTACAGATCACAGTCTGTGCACTAGGGCAAAAGTTATTTTAAAAGCCAAAATCATTGATTTAAAAAAAAATTTCTGTGTGTGAAAAACTAGCTTTGAAAGGAAGTTCTATTGTATTACATTTTCCTCACTTTTAATTTGAATGTTTTCAGTCTAATGCAAGAGGGATTATCTGACCAACTCTCTTTAATGACACCTAAAATCAACCAAAACTTACATGTCCTGGGCTACTTCACATGAAGTTCGGTGGCCATAGTGCCTCCTTCAGTTTCTTAAGATAAGTATTACCAGCACCTTTAAAAACATGGCTGTTTCTTGCCTAGATTTCAGTTTCCACCTAGTAGATTTCCTGTAAAGCACAATACACTGCTCTTGAGAAGTTTGCTACATAGTTCTTAAAAAATTTTTTTTCTAGCTGATTTCATGCCAATATTGGGAACCAACCTAAACCCAGAGTTCATTTCGGTCTGCAATAATGCCACATGGGCAATTGGAGAGATCTCCATCCAGATGGGTAAGATTGTTTCCCCTTTAAAAGTATACATTTTTAGATGCCTTAGTATTTTTGTAATTGCCCTTTTTTTAATGTAAGTGAGCTTTATATATTTTTCTATAACTTATGTCACAGTTAATAAAGGGAGCAAAATATTTTCCATTGATATTTTAACATTCAAATTTTTCTCTTTGTTTTCTCTTTGGGGATGATCTAGGTATAGAGATGCAGCCTTATATCCCTATGGTGTTGCACCAGCTTGTAGAAATCATTAACAGACCCAACACACCAAAGACGTTGTTAGAGAATACAGGTACCATATGACTGAACTGTTAACGGTGAAGAGAAAATTATTTGCCTTTTAATTTTCACTTAAGATGCGTAGAGAAACCAAAGCAAAGCTAGCTTTAGAAACCTGGCTTATTATTAACAGCTATTTTGGATTCTCAGTAATGAAGTGTTCTGTTGTAGCCGCATTCCATAACTAGTTTTCAGAAACTTTTAAAAAAGTTTTCTCTCCCATCCTGGTGTTTTAATACTCCGTAAAATGGACCCCAGCTAAAATAGCTATTGAATAGTATGCATTTTACTTTCACATTAATTCATAGAGTAACTGGGAGCTGGGAAGTAATGATTTTTTTTTAATCTGTAAAAATGTGGCCAAAAATAGATTGCAGCATAGTGGCTAATTGGTTGACGATGGCAGATGTATTTTGTATTTCATTGTATACTTTCCTTCACACTGGGAACTTAAGCAGTACCTTGTCGGGTTTTATTCAGGAGGCTTGTTTCTCTTTTGCATTTATAGAAAGCATGTTTATAATAAAGAGGCCCTTCCATACTACAGAACACATTTCAGGGTGATTCCTTTCCATCTTCCTGATTTTTGCTAATAATGATAAAAGATGTAAATTTTGTTTTCAATCAGGCATATCCTTTTCTTTATATTCTAAGGTAATTCCAATAATATATTCATAGTCAGTGGGGGTCTTAGCAAAATACCAGACAAAGATTAAAACAAGGTTTTCTAAGTAAGAAAATTCGTTTTCAAAATATGGTTTTTTATTTTTTAGTTAGAGAAAGTTTATTCTAATGTGATTAATATTGCTATGTTTATTGGTATGGAAGGAAATCTTTTAATTATGAAACAGTTATATTGGCTGTTTGGCTGTATGGGTACTGTTTATTTATATCATAAAGTAAATTAGATTTTCATGCTGAAAAGTTCAGAAATCTATGTATAGGATGGTTACGAAATCTTGTCAGGTTTTTATCTTGTTAGAATGCAGTACCTATACATGACATTCAGATTTGGAACACTTGCCATTATAAAATTACTGTTGAACCTAAAGAAACTTCCTATTTATTTTTAAATGTGAATGGATAACTGCAAATAAATGTTGAGTGTAATGTATATTAAAGTTTCTTGTGGGATATCAGCTCATGAATTTGTTAGAGTTCCTTTAACAAATTGGCTTTATTTACAAGATTATATTCTAAGTATGATGCTACCATGAGTAAATCAAAAGGTCGTTGACAATGGCCATCAAGTTGACGGATCGAATTGATCCAATTGAGAAACAAACACACTTGGGATTCACTGGATTACTCTTATCACAAGTGGCTGCGGAAAATGTTTCCCTAGTTCCTTACCTGAAAGAGTGGTGGGGTTTTAATTATTAAAGTAAAATCATTGTCAATGCCGAATGTCTATAGATTTTAGCAACTTAATTACCATTATCTTGGTGTTTCATAAAGCCAATTCCTTAGTGTGTGCAGTTACTTGCTTTTCCCCATTAGTATATCCTACACTGAACTTTCTCAATGGACCATCATCTGCTTTATCGCATGTTTCATTGGACTGTTCATACTTGCCTGTTTAATGAGAATGTTGCATAGTTTGTGTCTTTTGAACATAGGTTTTCTTTCTCTTGCTTCATATGAATCTGCTGGATTTTAGTATTATCTGTGTAGTTTGCTTCAAGTAATCCTTAAACATTTTTCTTTACCCCCACCCTTTTTTTATGAAAGGTTGACCTGTAAGTTTTTGAGAGAACACCATTAAAGCTCTTATGGTTTGTTTTCTGTTTGTATTTTCCCGTGTGTATAAATGTATTTATATGTACGTACCTTGGAATTGCAGGATGCAGTTCTGAGTTGCACTTGTTTTAGCTCAGTGTAAGTTTAAGAACTTCCTGAATTTGATGGTGAATATGTTTGATTAATTCCCACTTCAAAATCTTTTAAAATAAAATATTAGCATGTAATCAGTCTAATGTTTTATCATCTATTTTGGGCTATGCCTTTTGAGGCGAAGACAAACTATTTGTTCTTTTAGTCCACCTATCACGTGTCATTGAAGTGGACTGTCTAAATTTCCTTTATGTCAAATATGGTTCGAAATTAGCGGGCTTTTATGTCCGTTACTGTTACCGTCACCATTGGAGGGTTTTTGGAATGAGATTTAACATAGCACAGCAATCTTCCAGTCCATTCATTCAGTGCATGCCCTAACACTTAAATTTGACAGCTGATTCTGATACCAGGCAACAAATGATTCACTGGTTTGTTTTGGAAATGTTAACAAACAAAACAAAACCTACCAAAATTTGGATTAAATTCGTAGGTAATTTTATAAAAAGAGATGTAGAGAAGTGAGAAAGAAATGTTAACTTCTGAGAAGTGTAGACAATTCAGAAATGTAATCATATGTACAGTATTTCTTGGGGAAAAAACAGATTTCATTATTAAATTCTGACATTTCCAGTGGCTTTGAATGAAGAATCTCTAAATCCATCCATTTTTCTTGCTCATCTTTTTGCTACCAGAGAATGATAAATTCTTGACACTTGATTGAGCGAGAAAAGCAATTTGTCACGGTTTTTGGTGTTCTCTCAATCTTTAAAGTTTTTTTAATTCCTTTTGTTTTTCTTTTTCCAAGAGTATGCCATATATGTTGCTGCCCCTTATTTTAGGGGGTGGTAATAAACAGCACTGGTGAAATCTTATGTTTATTATCATACACAAATTCTGTTGGTTTCTGTTTCTGAGTTATTTGTTGTTTTTCTTTATTTTTCTCCTCCCCCTCATTTGCTCATGTCTTGGTTGGCGTTTGGTGGTGTATAACCGTGATTGCGTTACCTTAGCAATAACAATTGGTCGTCTTGGTTACGTTTGTCCTCAAGAGGTGGCCCCCATGCTACAGCAGTTTATAAGACCCTGGTGTGTATTATTCAATCTTTTTTTTTAATTCATTTTTCTTCACTCTTTCTTTCTCTTTCTATCTCACTTTTAGATATATTTTCAGTTGGTTACAAAAATCACAATCCTTAATCATTGCCAACCATGTGACTAATCTTGTCCTATCAGGTTTGTGAGGTTTTTCAGTAGCATCGTCATGTATATTTATTTTATGTTGTGGCTAACGACTAATTGATGCATGGGATAAGATTGTCACATGCTTGCTGTGTTAAAAAGCTTGATTATACATAAAAAGCATTTAAATATCCACCAGTAAAATAAAGATGCATGCAAATTCTATAAATTTAGGGTTTTGCATTATGTTTCTTTTTAAGAGTTAATTTGAAAACTTGGATTGCATTAAGAAATACATGTTTAAATTTGTTATGTATAAAAATCTTATTTGCTTGTTAATGTAAAAGTTAAACATCTACACCATAAGTTGTATAATAATAGTTTATATTGTGGCAGTATAGCCTATGTTCTGCTTCTTTTCAATTGATAATCTTTCAAGTCATTTTTAGTAGTGTTTAATGGAATACAAGTCATAATACAGTTTTAAAAATTGGTAATTTACTTCTGACTCAAGCTCATTAATAGTTTAAATGGGAGATTAAAATCAACTGTGCATTTCATAGATGTAGTCTATTAATAAGAAAATGTAAATTTCAAGGTTCTACTATGTTGAGATTAGATGGGCCCAACATACAGGAAGTGGAGAAACTTAAGCTTTATGAAAATTCTTTGAATATAAACATTATACTGTGGTGCTTATTCCATTAAATACTGTCCATTAGTGTTGTAATTGAACCTGCTTTTTACTTACATACTAAACTCAGTTCTATAACTTAATAGGTGCACCTCTCTGAGAAACATAAGGGACAATGAGGAGAAGGACTCAGCGTTCCGTGGGATTTGTACCATGATCAGTGTGAATCCCAGCGGCGTGATCCAAGTAAGGTGTTTGCAAGGTTCTGCTTTTAACTTCAAGTGTTCTGAATAATGAAACTTTAAAGGAGGAAATATTTTAACACTTTAATCCTAAAAATATTATATTTATTAACATTTTTTAGAGGTACTGAAACAAATTATATATTAAAATGTATATTTGTTAATATTTTGAAATGATAATGCCTGTTTTTATTTCCTACATCTTTTTTTGTCGTAAAACATAGTAATGGCAGATTTGGAGAACAGTTACATTCTTGTCTTACATTAACCCAAAGCTGCTTCCATTCACATTTGGACCTCATTTATTTGTTGTGTACATGCCTCCTGTCCATGAATAACAGTTTGCTGAGTTTGAGGTTATCTACACCTAAAAGAGTGACCAAATAGGGTACTCTTTCTGTTACTTAGAATCAAACTTAGAGACTCAGCAGTGAATAAAATGGAAAATGAAATCAGCCATTGAAACTGCTGTAACTCTGAGAGCTTATGATTGATTCATCCTTATCATTTCCTGTCTTAGTTCATACTATGTTTAGACATTTTTAGCATTTTTTAAAAATTATTTGGCAACAGTATCAGACATGAGTCTGAGCCACCTCTGGATCCAACTTTGAGGAGAGGACGGCATGGGAGGGTCAGGAAAATGACCTGGCCCTTCCAAGAGATGGGCGCTTCAAACACTGTCATTGAGACCTTGGTGTTTCCTGTCTTCTGTTAATTACTGTGTTTGGTAATTCGGGTTTAGAAACATTGTGAATTACCAGCTTATAAAATTCAAATTGATGTAGGTGGTAGGCCTTGAAAACTTACAAAGGAGAACTGGAAACAATCTTTTGACTAATTTCGCCTTTGTAAAACCTTAATGTCTGACTATGAAAACAAGCCAGGACTATTTAGAGATGGCCCTGGTTGCAGAATAACCTCCTGACATTTTCTGTTTTTGCAGTACTTAAGAACTTTTGTGTCATGTTAAATGTGTTTCAGAGGTGTCTGAGATGACATAACCGTATTAAGAAGGATCCTTTTTCATTCTGGGTTTTTTAGTTGTTTGTTTATTTATTGAATTAACATTTAAGATGGTGGAAGTAACACATGTATGTGGTCATGAGATCATGTACAACTTTAGAGTTGGTAGAAATCTCTACTTTTTACATACTTATTTGGGTACGGTTAAAAGGAAATGTCTTATTTCTTATATTTAAATTTTTAATCACAAATTCTAGATTTGTATATATTTTAACTTTTAACATCACGTTATTTGGAAGGCATAGGTAATCATAATTTGAATAAACCATGAACTTTAGGCGCATGGCATTTTATTTGCCTAAATGTGTGTTTTATACATGTACTTTAATGTTAGTAAATTTTGAAATTAATGAAGTTCTCTGAATTTAATAATAAAATTTAAAGTAGTTGACATATCAGAACATCAGCAATATCTTGAATGTTGTATACTGGACTGTTGTTTCATTATGACAGTCAAAATTGGAAAATAGTGAAATATTTAAAGCATATACCTGTTGTTGCCTTATTCTTGTAGTCAGAATAACCTGGTAATCTTTTGAGTAATTGTCTGAGCATTGGGCTTTTTCTTCTTTTTGTTTGAGTTGAGCTGGGTCTTATTGGTCACGGCATAATTAGTTTTTCTTCTCACTTTTGGACATTAAGTTTCTATCTGAAGATACGTCTTGAATTTAGGTCTATTACAATACTTCAAATTGAGCTTATTAGGTATACACTTAAGTAGTTTAAAATTATTTCTAGGCTAGTCAGAACTGTAAGATCATTGAATTTATATAATTCTTTAATCCAAAAAAGTGACGGTTTTTTTAAATTGATGCTGATTTGATGCTTTCAGTCCTTTGCTGATGGTAAGCATTTACTAGACGGGTTTTGTGATGTAAAGTAAAATACAAAAGGGCATTAACTTCCAATATAAACTGAATACACAGTAGTTCCTTGATGGTGGAGTAATAGCAGCATCCGTTAAGTAATCTCTTAGAATTCCTCATGATCATAGGTGATTCTTAAAATGTTTTCTCTTTTTAAGCTAGGATTCTATTGTGACATGTATTCTGAAGTTTGCATAGCTCTTTTGCTGTGTTTGACAAATATATCAGCCTAAGATGTATTTTTGCTTGTTACAGGATTTTATATTTTTTTGTGATGCTGTTGCATCCTGGATTAATCCAAAGGATGACCTGAGAGACATGTTCTGTAAGGTAACTAAGTCGTCTTTATAATGTATATCTTGGGACTGTTACCATCCTAGTTGGAAAGTTTACTATATATTTCATAGGACGCTTAGAGTCTTCGAATCAATACTGAATCAATAAAGGAGTTGGCTTGATCTTTTCTTAAGATACAGCAGTGACTGTATCCACAGAGCATGGACTTTAAAGATATTTTTCTCCACGGGGTTAAACCTATCTGGTTCTTTGCTTTAGTAGTGCTCTCTTTTAATTGACTCCCGTCAGCACTCAGCCATAACAAAATGAGAAATAAAATGCTGTGACGCATTTAAGCCGCTAATATTAGTGAACTACAGTTGCAGCATAAACCCAAAGCTTTATTTATTTCCAATTTGAAAAAACTTAATCTGGCATAGAAATTTTATCCCTTGGGTGAATTCTGTCCTTTTCTGGGGTTTTTTCATTCATGTTACTCAGAGGTTGCTTAGAGTACTGCGTCTGTGAGGAGGACGCTTGCTGAATTCCGACCTCCTCAAGGCAGAGTTGAACACTTTCTGAGGGGCTCTTAGGCAAGACGTGAAATGGCGTAGAATCCAACAATGTGTGAGAATTACCACCTTAAAAGGATAAAATTTTAGAATAATAAAACCAATAATATTTGATGTCAGAAGCTATGCAGATCTGAGGTTTTCTCTCTTGTTATTGATAATTGAATGGTTTTTCTAACTCTCTGCAGATCCTTCATGGATTTAAAAATCAAGTTGGGGATGAAAATTGGAGGCGTTTCTCTGACCAGTTTCCGCTTCCCTTAAAAGAGCGTCTTGCAGCTTTTTACGGTGTTTAATCTCGCGCTTAAGCTGCAGTCCCGTGATTAGGGTAAGTTGTGAGAAGTCTGGAATCTTCCACGATGGAGAGACTTAGTTAGGACCACAGTCGAAAGCTGCTAAATGGAGTAGAGCCTGTTCCACAGAGGCCGAGTGAAGCAGCCTCCAGCTATGCTGGACTTTACAGTGACTTAAGTGGAGGCTGGAGAATCATTCAGAGAACCAGCAAGAGACGCTGCAGGTCCCGCTTTGAATCCTCAGGAGGACATCCAGGCTGGCGTGCTGGTCAGATGACTCAGCGCTGCTGCGGCTCGTGCTTTTTTCCTGTTCACCCCATAAGGTCACTGACGGTCGCTGCGGTGGGGTGAAAACGGTTTCCTTTTGAAGCACAGATTTGTAGGCTGATGTATCAGGGACTTTCTGTGTTGTGAGCCTTCGGGAAAACCCAGGTAAAACTGGAACTGGGTTTGCCCTCAGTAGATAAGAATATTTAACATTCATTCTTCAACGTCTGTCTTTTTGGGCACCTACCCTGTGGCTAGCACTGCGTTTTGAAATGGGCAGTGGAAGATTGTGTTTGATCTGGGGTGGTAGAGGGGCAAGTCCACTTGGACTCTTGTTCCCTGAGTTTTTCTTTATTTAGTTGAATGAATAATTCTGGTCTCTTGACCCCACTTCCCTCATTGAGTTGTTTCAGGGATTAAATACTGTACTATATGTGATGCCAGAACTTAGTGTATTGCCTAACGCACCAAGTTGGCTCAGTAAGTGTTAAGAATGTGAACCAGGATACACTTCTTTCGGTTTTGAACATGAACTGAGACGGCTGGAGGGCCAGAGAGTACTCAGTCTATGTCCAGAGGATGCACACCAGTGAATTACCCTTTATGTCGGACTTCTTCTCGGCTTGCTTGCTTCTTTACTGTGAGCTAGATTTTAAACTGGGAAGATTTCAGCATCCCAGTTGTGTAACCTAGAAGGCCGTATAAACGGACTCGCGGCTTCTGGAACATCTCAGTCTTCTGCGTCTGGTCCCACTGTGGTCTTGGGTCCCTGTAGCTGTTCTGTGGCTTGAGCATTTTGGAAAAGTGCTTGATTCACTTTATGTTAAATCATGAGAGTGATTTTTATCATCAAGGGCCAAAAGATTCAAGAGTGGACTGAGTCTTGAGCACTTTCAGATTTATGACCTCTGTGGTCTCTATTATATCACCAATTAGGAATTAACTGTGGTGAGCATGTTCTAAGACAAGGTATGAAATACTTCTCAGTTTTCTAATTAGAGGTAAAAGTGCGTTGGTAGCTTTTGTTCCGGTCTTTCTTGTACTCTTCTTCCCCTTTTTCAGAGGCAGAGAAAAGGGGTTACTTGTACTTCTCCACAGGTGGGCCAGTCACCCTCTGTAAATTCACCCAAACTTTCGTCAGTGTCCAGAGTTTGGCCTGAGTGGTTAGTAGAGTTTTGTTGTAGAAGGACCACTACCAGGTGCTAGTTATGATCTCCCAGTAATCTGCCTTGATGTCTTTATGTCCTTCTCATCATCAAACCTGTGCTGGCATTGAAAAAGTCCTTACCAGGAAAAGCAAGACGCCTGAGAGTATAGGAAGTGATGGAGTAAAATAGAGCCGGAGGAATTATCGGGAACATTGAGAAGGCGGGTGTTAAAATTTGCTTTTTGATATTTGCTGAGTGTAGTGACCTTACTGCAGTGTGAACACCTTTAGTGCCTCCTAAGCTAAAACATCAGACACCCAAAAATAAGTAATGCTCCTTTTATTTTTTGTTAGATTGGGTTTTTGTTTGCTTAATATTGGGAATACTGGCAAAAGCATAGTGTTTTAATGTTTACTAGGCAAAGTGATTGTCCTAAAAAATCTGCTGTTTAATTTTGAAGTAAGGTAGCTTATGAAAATATAACCAGTTTGCATTGGGCCCAGTGTGCGGAAGGGGATGAAGCGTTAGGCTCATGGGATCCTGCAAGGCCCATTTCCCCTGTTTGCTCTGTTCAGAGTGCTGCACTACTCTCTGCGTGTCCTCAGCTCACTGTCACTTTTCGTGTCTGTTGCAGGTGACAGTTGAGAGCCGTCGGAGAGAGGAAGCAAGGGGTTATCATTGGCTAGATTATCTTAGGCAGTCGGTCCAATTTCCCGTTTTCTTTAGGTAGAAAGAGCAGGGTTACTTGATTCTGTGTGGCACCAGCTTTAAAAGAGGAGCAGTTGCTAAAGTCTGAAATTGTTTTGTTTTCTTGCAGGTCCTTCGGTCTTGGAGACTGTGAGGGAGCCTCTGCACCCAGGGAAAATGTTACCCTCTACGGGGGGAAGGGCAACCCAGTAGGGAACACAGTGCAACCCAACCCTACTGGGAGGGGCGGGAGGGAGGTGTTGCCGTCACTGTATAAGTCGATGTTGGGAAAAGTTTTAACATCTGGAGCCTTTGTGGGTGGAAATCTGTCTCCAATTACAACTCCGCACTGGATGTGAAGAAGCAAAAAACAAACCTATTCAGTCTACTCACAAAACAGTACATTCTGGAATATTATGGGGAATTGTACCAAAACAAGAACCATATAAATGACGCATAGGGATAAGAAAGAAAAAATTCTATAGCGCACAATAAAGGAAACCTAAGAATGGGGGATACAGACAGTAAAGAAGCTTTTTTTTTTTTTTTAATTTAAAGGTTTTGATAAATTTTCCCCCATGATGGGGCCTTGTTTTTGCATGCTGATGAAGAACTACATAAATGAAGCTAATAGAGTTAAAATCAGCTTGCCTACCCATAGTAGAAGCAGGTTCTTGGAAGTTACAATTTAAGGTACCCCCAAAAAAGTTGGAAATAAAACAAAACAAATCTAAACAATGAAGCACCCTGTGAGATGCCAACTGAGTCACTCCTTTGACCTTGGTGGGTGGGCAGGGAGGGAGGAAGAAGTGGGGCTGGGCATATCGAACTAAAGATTGACATCTTGATTTTGCATTAAAACATTAATGTAGTGGATATAATTTGATGGTTGTACTTCGTTAGATTTAATTTCTAGGCCAGGACGTTACTTCTAAAGTGCAGTTGAAGGTTCAGGCACGCGTTCTGGCTCAGTGATGGGGCCCTTTGATCCGTGGGGGGGCGTGCTCGCAGCATGGGGTGAGATTGGCATTCAGTTAGCTGGGGCGCCAGTATGTGTTGCCGTTGACCGATTCAATATAGCCCTGCATTTAAAATTCCTTTTTAAGATTTGTGGATTTTATTTTTATTAAGAATATAGATATAAAGTACTGTAGTTTACAGCTAGGCCTTGAAATATCTTTTTAGGATCTGTTAGGAATAAGATTGATATTGTATTGTGTGTAACCTGCACAATGTGGAAAGCTGATATACCTGTGCAAAATCCTTGCCTCTGTGCTGTCAGTGTGATGTGCTTTCTGCATGGTTATATACTACTAGTGATTTTATCGAAACTTCTCAAACTTAAATTACATGGTAAAAGATCTGTAAGAGGCTGCATAAATGTTAGTTGGCACATAAAGACAATTGTAGAAGTTGAAGACATGATTGCTATACTTCAATGTTTATTCCCACTCAACATATTGCCTTCTAAGCTTTCTTTTTTTGTTCAAAGCATGATCTTAAAGATATGTTTAAGTTAATGGATGTAATGCAGGGTTCCTACACTGTATTGGCGCATGTTGGTGGCCCTCTGTGCCCTAGATATATGCACACAGGGTGTAAGTAAAAAGCTACAGAGTGAAAGTTGGTTTGGATCCTCTTCATTTCATTTGTTTAGCTTTTCTGTTATTTTTCTCTACTTACATGTATTCCTGTGAATAAATCCTTGTTAAGTTAACCCTTTACTTTTCCTTCCATGTGTATTTTCTTATATACTGTGAATGTGAAAACCTAACTGGTACACTTGATCTTGTGTCCATATGAAAGTGCAAGTCTTTATTAATTTGGATTGCCTGAGCAGTGTATCCCATGATGATGAAGGAAAATGGAGAGATTTTTCTTTTTAACTCTGCTGGTCAGAGATGAAGCCACACCTTTCCATTTTTCAATGCTGCATATTTAATCTGCAACAGAAATGTTAAGCCATAACAACCTTTTATATTTCAGTTTGTCACCTTTGCATTGCAGAATAAATTCTGAATAACCATTTTTATAAGCAGTTGCTCCTCTTTGCATGGTTCTATTCTTCTAAAGGTGTTGAATGATACAGCCATTGCACTGAAGTTTGAGCTGTATGCGTGTGGATTTATAAATACCGTTTCAAGAAATTTCAAATGCATGGTAGCATGCAGAAAGGTTTCTGTTACTCTGTGTGTGTGTGTATTTTTTTTTTAACATGTCCTTTCACTTTCTTTCTTCTACTTTGGCTTTGCAAATTTCAGTCTGTAGAACCTGAAGTTAAATAATATTTTATAATGTCCAGGGTTTTTTTTAATTATAAGTTGGATCCAAAGGGTATGTTGCATTTTGCTTTCCAGTACCATTGCTTCACTGGGAGCTCAAAATTTGCTTCCTAGTTAGTCTTTAAAACCTGGTTAGGGTAGCTGTTTTATCCTTAAATTCTAGTGATATTCTGTAATTGTTTGGATACTTTTAGGATTTAGAATGGGAGATATTTTAATATTCTGGAACAGATAATAAATACTTTAAATTGAAAGAAATGAAATTCTTCTCTAAACACTTTAAAACAAACATAGAAACAACCTTCAGTAAAGTTATCTGGACCTATAATTGACAATTCTATATTCACTGAAAAGCAGTATTGTCACCTCTTTGACTAAGAATTGGTTTCCAGTTAGGCAGATATGTAACAAGAATGTGCCCATTTTTCAAGTCACTTAACCTGTTCTTAAATTTAAAGGAAATTTAATTTAAAAATAGAAAATAAAATTGAGTATGTACGGCTGGCAACCTGAGATTGGGTTGGTTCTTTTGTGTTTCTCTCCTTCAAAGTTATTGTTCCTTCCCAGTGTATATTTCAGATGCATAGTATAGCATAGGAATTTGCAGAAGCCATTTAAGTTATCTTTTGAGGTAAGCTCCAATTTAGCATCTATTGTTCTGAAAACTTAATACATCATGGGATATATATAAAGCGACTAAATTCTTGTGGTGTAGTTGTAATAGTTTTGACTGTTGACTGAATGTCTATGAACTTGTGAGTCTGTCTTTGTTACATTCCAGTGTTCCTGCCTTTGGCATGCTTCAAGCACGGCTTACTTCATCTGCTCCTTACACACTGAAGTGCTGTTAGTGTGCTCAGCTACAGAGATAGCCGCTGCTCAGTGATGTCGATTTTCTACTTGAATATTTTTATGTTGTAGGAACCTCAGGAGGTCAGTGTTTACTGTTTTCTATATGCCTTCTTTTTCCTGTTCGAGCTTCTCTCTTTGAAGGATTCTAACAGAACAAAAGCTGCTGATCAACCTAAGTTGGAAACAGAAAGTGTATTTAATATAATTTAAATGCATGTTTGGCAGTTCCATGTTATAGTCCATTAGTAAGTGAACTTAGTGCCACAGATGTTCATTTATTCAGGAAGGAGTTTCTTTTTTGTATTGTCTGATCTCTTTAATAACTTCATACTGTATAAAAAAATCACTTTTTTATATTTTTTGGTTGGTTATTTCCCAAATAATCAACATGTAAATAATCTTTAAGAGCCAGTTCTGATGCTTTACATTATTGCTACTTGATTTTGTGATGCAAGTTATATTTCAGAATAGATTTTAAAACACTTAACCAAGCCATTACATCTTAAAAACAAAATAACGTAGCATACATTTTGTAATTAACATATTGATAAACACTGTGATTTTTTTTGTTAAGACTTTTTCATTGATCTAATTGCTTAAATTGCATATATTGTAAGATAGAATCAGATGTATATTTTAAAATAATTTCAACTGACTTTCCTCTATTGAAATGTTTTGTCTACTCAGTTATAAAATATTCAGATACAAGTTTTATCTCAGGTGAATACTCTTGTATCCTTCTTGCTTTGGTGACATATGCTTATAAAGGGTCATCATACTTATATTCCTTATTTTCTAGTGTATTCATGAAGAATCTTCCCATTTAGTCTGATTTTCCAGTCCCTGTTCTAGTGGACTAGGGTGGCATAAATCCCTCTTGGTGAGCCCTTTGTGTGCAGGTTTACCTTGAGAGTGAGCTCAATTTGGTCCTCCTTTTCTCCAGACCCTCAAGATAGGAAAGTGTAAATTTTTCTGTCCTATGTTATATTACATAGCTGAAATGCCAGAATTAAACTCATTATGTCTTAAAAACCCTTTAGTCCAAATTTAACTTAAATCCTTTGCCATAAAGAAAAAAGTGGTTTTTTTGCTTCATATAATTAATCTATATTATTCATATTGAATGTATTAACAGATAACGGTGCAAAAACATCCTTCTCAGGGGAAGGGTGTCTCATGCATAACTGCAGTTTAAATCCTTCTTTCAGCAGTATTTGAAATGCACACAGCTTTGCTTGTTGAATTACTTTTGCAAATAATCCAAGGGGGAAAACACTAACTGTCGCTACTAGTGCTGTTATTGAAGTGTAGGCATGGAGATCTTTCAGAAACTGGGCTTCAGGTTGTGAGGGGTCTGGGATAATCTCGATGCAAGGTCAGATTGATAGAGAGCTGTGTGACAATTTTGTCTGGTAATAATACCATGCAAGAGCATTCTATACCTACTTAGTACACTTCAGACTGTATTAAATATGGGGATATTTCTAATGCCTCTTAAAAAATAAAATTTTACACGAAGGTTTCATTCACTTCAATACTTTTCAGGTGACGTAGAACTCATTTTCTCAGTCTTATGTAGATTTGCCCCCGTTGGTGTTACTTAATATGTCATCTTTATCTTTATGCCTAATTATTGTGCATATTAATTTTAAGGTATACATTTAAATTATAGCAACTGTTTATTGTGATTTGTATCCCAGAATGTATTGTGTTTAAAAAAATGTATGCATGATTTTGAGGGAAGGCAAATGGTGATTTTTTTCTTTTGTACCTGTTGTACATTTTAAAACCAAACCAAATCTATTTGCCAAGCATTATATCACTAATTAAGGAAATAGTATTTTCCCTTTAAAACAATTTTTGTGCACCTACCATAGAATCCCCTTATACTATGGCTTGGTATTATGCAGAATTAGCTATTTTGCAAGTCTGATTATCTTCCTGAAAGCCTCCTGTGACATGGTTAGCCTCTAAGGCAGTGTTAGTCCCTTCCCATACCAGCCTGGCAGAGGGGTTCCGCTGTGTTCTCCACTATCGCTTCATTGTTGTTTCCTCTGTGGATGTGTAACCAAATGAAGATTGGATGATATTTTATGGAGATAATAATTAGACAATACTGTGTAATTAATTTTACTTAATAGATTATCATCTGTGAGAGGAGATGTTTAAACATGGTTAATCAATTCATGTTATAAAACAGTTTTACACTTAATATTCATGTTAACATTGGGTGCAATAATTTAGTAGTTTTAGCTTTAGTTATAAATAACTGGATCTTTCTGCTGACAACTTAGGTTGTATGAGTTATGCTTAAAGCTTTAAATCGGATGTTTCCTGTACCTGCCACACTATGTTAGAATGTGTCCTTCAAACATATCCTCCTGCAACTTCAAACTGTGCTCAGTTGACACTTCTTGAAGTCTAACTCTGTGCTAACAGATCTTCATTTTACATAGAATACGGTTTTAATTTTTGATAAGCTGCTGAATTTTAAAGAGAGTTTTTTGGGGCCACCAAATATTTTGGATCATGCAGAGAATATATATTGTACTGTAGTAATTTTGTATTTACATTTGTATGATGTGACATAATAGATGTGAATGTTAATCCCTGCTTGACGATGTTAATAAAGGTGTTTAACTATAGATGTTTCACTCTGATTTTTAATGAAAGGAAATGAGCTTTCTTTCCTTTCTCTTCCTCTTCCCATTTTGGGTCCAGATAGGTCTTGTCGTTGTGTTGTTTTTGTTCTTTGGGGTTTTTTCTTTGAGGGTGTTTTTCTGAGCTTAGACATTAGTGCTCTCTTGTTTGACATGATCTATTTTTTAAATTGAGTACTTTCTTATTTGTATGGTGTGGTAAAAGACCTATTTTCTGCACATTTTAATTTAACTTCTGTTATTGATATATTTCTAAACGGTTCTTGGTTCAGCTTTCGGTGGGGGAGCAGGGAAAGATACTGCTCCTCAAAACGGAAATTAAAATAGAACGTGAAGTCATGAATGAAGCATTGTAAGGAGGGGCGGTGTGAATGCGCGTCCGGGTAAGCCTTCCTGTGAATCCTCCAAACATTAAGACTTGCAGTTTGGAAATTAATATTTATAAAGGTAGTTTCCTCTTCAGGTTGTAATCCATTATAGTTGCATGTTATTAATTAAAATTAAATGTCTTAATACATTTCAGGGGAAATAGGTGCAAAACTGTTTATAGTAGTCTGGTTTTTATTTGAGATTTAGAACAAAGGAAGGGGCTAAGATTAGATCAGCACAACCCAGAAAATTTTAATGGAAATGAGACTCTGGTTTCTTTGCCTTTGCTACCTGCACATGAAAATATTTGAGATTCCTCAGTTGTGTTGGAGAGAAAAAAAACTGAAAGTGGGGTATCGTGTTCTAAAACACAACTTCAAGAAAGAATGTAAGATTCCAGAATTCAGAACTTAGCTTGTGGAGGAAGATAATCAAAACCAGCCTGATCATTAGTTATTCAAGATTCTGTTTTGCTGCTGCCATCTTAAAGAAATTGTGCCTGAAGCTAAAATCTTTTCATTTGTAAGTCTTTAACATTTGAGTGAAAGTAAAGTACAAACTTCAAGATGTTACCCATTTATGCCTGTTTTTGAACTGACAGGCATTTTTATCTTGTCAGGAGTTCATAAGCAACCTGACTCCATAATTTATGTTACCTGCGACTCTCTTGGAATGATGGTCACAGTAGCAGTTGCACTACACAGCTCTGACTCCTCATTACTGCGCAGTTGAACACACAAACTGCTGGAGCTGTGACTGTCGTCTTATGATCATTCATCTCAGAATCTGTTTGAACTTGATGTAGAAGACCCTCCCGAAACGTCCACATAGCTCTCCAGTGTTCAGGTCAACAAGGTTTGCAAATTAACAGCTTAGAAATTCAACACAATTTGTAAGCCATTGACAAAAGTGATAGAGGAGAAATTGTTATACCAAGAACCTTTAGGTTTCTGTGCCAGTCAGCAGCAGGATTCATTTCTGTGCACAGTATAGCGATCTTGCTCTGGCAGTTTAAATTTTATTGTATTTCCTTTCAAGCTTTATGTTGCCTTTTGAAGAACTTCATTAAACAATTTAAGAAAGACAAGTGAACGATTTTAAATGAGTTTTAATACAACTACCCAGTGATGCAATGACAGTATTTCTGTGCACATATGTGCATTATTTTTAATATCCACATTTGCCTGTTAATAAATATACACCAAGTCAGTAGCCCCACCGAATTCTGTGAACAGTTTACACAACTCTCTTACTATTGTTGGATCTTCAGAAGTTTTTTCTAATTTTTCACTCTTAGAAATAAAGTTGTGATGAATGTCGCTATGCTTAAATGTTTGCATACACCTTCAGTGATTTCTTAGTGGAATTGCCATGTCAAAAGGAGATGGGGTTATAGTCAATTTCCTTTTGGATAACGTACTAATTTCCACACCCAGCAGCAACTTCAATGAGTGTTACCATGTGTGCTGTAAATTGTGACTTCATAGGCTGATTGTCTTACTTAGGAATTTTATATACAAAATCCATGTTTTCATGTTACATATTCAGTAATTATCTGAGTCTTATGTCACCAGTACAGTACTCTGGTCTCATGTTGCTTATATTCTGTTGTCCATGCAAAATAACCAGTAACCATTCTATAGATAGGAGAGAGAAGGTGAGTTTTACTCGAGCCTGGCTGAAGACTAATCCGGGAAGGCAGTTTCCACAAAGGAAGAAAGCATTCCAGAGAATTGTTCATGGTTTTCAGTACAGTCTTAGACCTTTTTAGAACAAAGGATGTACATTAAACACCCAGGATACACGTTCATCAAAGTTTCAAAGAGCTGTTCAGTTCCAAATTAGCAGGTCAATTTATTTTCAGGAGTAACTGATGTGATGTTACCCTGGTGGGTGTAGGAGGGGAAGAATGCATTCTTATCCTAAATGAGTGCATCCTTTTACTTTGAGATAATGTTTAACGTCCTCTTTGATGGTTAAGCAGATGGACAATGTATGTTTGATAGGCCATAAGTCAGGCTTCTTTAGTTGAAGCCGAATCAGTTTCAGTTTTGAACCAGAATAGCTACCCCATACCTCAATATGTGAAAATCTCTTGCCACTATTGTGGGAAGCTGATAGGTAACGGTGTTATATAGCAACAAGTGCCAGGGAGAAAGAGGCAGCTGGAAGGTGATGGCAGGAGTGGAGGCTTGCTGTTTTAAGTGGCCTCAGGGAGAGGAGTGTCTGAGAGGGTGTTATTTGAACCAAACCTTGAAGGAGTGAGTCTGTGCATATCTGGGGGTGAGTGTTTCTGGTAAAGGAACAATAAAAATAAACGCTCTAAGACAGTAATGTGTTTGGTTGTATTGTATGCAAGTGAGAAGAGTGTAACTGGAGCCCTGGGAGCAGGGGAGGAGGGTAGTAGATGAGATCCGGGAGGACGCTGAAGCCAGATGGCAGAGGTCAGTTTTGCACGTAAGTGAAGTAAGGGATCATTGTAGGGTTATCTGGATGTGTTTCAAGGGAGGAATCAAGATTGGCCACCGTACTGGAATGCGTGGTAAGGGAAGAAATCGAGGATGGCTGAGCAGCTGGAAGGATGGGAATGTTACCTGAAATAGGGGAAATCTGGCATTTGGTTTGAGATGTCCGTGTGGAGAAGTGGAGGAGGCAGTTGGAGTTCAGGGGAGATAACCTGGCTGCAGATGGAAAACTGGGAAGGTAGAAACGGCGCCTCAAGCATGGAGCTCAGTAACATCACCCGAGGCCTAGGAGAAGGGGAGGCGCGAGCTGAAGCTGAAACCTCGACACTGAAGCCTGCAGAAGCAGCAAGTGAGAAGACTGGAAATTGACTTCGCGCTTAACAACAAGGGAGGCCCTGATTTGGGCAGACCTCCTTATGGCTATTGAAGAATCAGAATGAGAGCTGTCTGCTCCCTCCCTCCGAGCTGTGAGAGGCCATAGGCTTCCCTTTTCCTCAAGGCTGAGTTAGTAGCTTTGTTTCCTAAGAACTGAATCGTTCAAGAAACGTGGAAGCTTGTGAAGGGGCAACGGGCCAAAGTGGGCTGAGATAAGTGACCCCCTAGATCAGCAGCTTGTAGTGTCTACATTTAAACTTAAAAACCTACCCAGAAAGATTAGCAACAGGTTTTCGTTTGTTACTAGGCAAGGTTCTAGAGTTCATATGAAAAAGAAAAGCCAGAGAAATCGTGGGAAGAGGTAGGAATGAGGATGGGACAATCCCAATCTGATGCTTTCTTGAGTTTTGGCTGCAGGAATTAAAACTACTGATTCACAAATAGGCAGCTCAAAAGAACTAAATCTGGAAACATCTGAATATACATGAAACTAGTAGATGGCGCTTAAATGAGAAAAGACGGATTGCTTAAGTGTTGGGAAAACTGAGTAGATATTTGCAAAAAAGGGCTGGGTTCCTACCTCATTACTGTGTACCACAATTCTAGATGGCTCTAAAGTAAAAGTACTAACATGAAAACTTAGTTTCTTTTTTTATGTATAATCTTAGTATGGGGAAGGCATTTCTAGGTATGACACAAACCCCAAAAGTCTTGAAAGAAAAGACTGGTTTAAAAAGCCTAAAAATTCTGCATGACAAATTAAAAACCTTTCACAGAAAATGGCTAATTTCCTTATATTTTAAAGAACTCCTTGAAGTCAGTAAGACAATCCAATAGAAAAATAGGCAAAGGATATTAAACGGTTCACAGAAGACTAAATTTTGTTTAGTTTTTAATCAATGTAAACTAAAATAGTTTACCTATGATGGATATGTTTTAAAGACTTTCAGTCAGTTGAAATTTAACTACACTTGGATTGCCTTCACATTGACAAAGGTCAGAAAGGCCTGGTGACAAACGCTTACCTGGGGCATAGGAAGCAGGAATACACACGTTGCTAGCAAGAGTGTAAATAAGTAAAATTGAAGGGCGGTTTAGAAATATCAAAATTATAAGTCTTTTGACCTATAAATCACCCCCTAAGTAATTAACCTATATTGTAGCCCGTAAACAAATGAAAAGATGCTACTTATCTTTTCCTATTCACTAAATTCACACAGATTGAAAATACCAGTCGCTGCTAAGGATGCACCATAGAGGAGGAGGCTCAGCGACAATGCAGACAGAGGACTGCTGCTTTGGAAACCAGCTACCATTACCCAGTAAAGCTGAACACTTGTATATGCTAAGACTCAGCAGTTCTCCTCGGTATATACCTCAGAATGACTCCAGATGTGTGCCAGGAAAAGTGCAAGAATCTCCACATCAGCATTGTAACCAATAGCAAAACAGAAAAAGGAGCAGCCCTGAGGTCACACAGGATGGATAATTTTTGAAACAGTGCTGAGCAAAAGCAGCCAGTTTCAGTAGAATACCTACAGAGAAACCATTTATATAAAATTCAAAAACAGACTAAAAAGTGCATAAATAGGGATGCGTACATAGTGTGTAATACAAAATTAAGATGGTTACATCTTTGAAGGAGAGTGGAAGGTGCAAGCATGAAGAGTCTGGGTAGTGAGTACATTTTATTGCTCTTCAAGTGGTACAGAAATGCCCGCTCATGGAGATTTTGCACATGACTTCGTAGCACCAGACGAGACTGATCTGGTAACC